AAAAAATTTTGGGAAAAAAAATTTTGACCCAAAAAATTTCGGCCCAAAAAATTTTGACCCAAAAAAATCTTGGTCAAAAAAATTTTGGTCAAAAAAATTTTGACCCAAAAAAATCTTGGTCAAAAAAATTTTGGTCAAAAAAATTTTGACCCCAAAAAATTTTGACCCAAAAAATTTCGGTCCAAAAAATTTTGACCCAAAAAATCTTGGTCAAAAAAATTTTGACCCAAAAAAATTTTGACCCAAAAAATTTCGGCCCAAAAATTTTGACCCAAAAAAATCTTGATCAAAAAAATCTTGGTCAAAAAAATTTTGACCCCAAAAAATTTTGACCCAAAAAATCTTGGTCTAAAAAAATCTTGGTCTAAAAAATTTTGGTCAAAAAAATTTTGACCCAAAAAATTTCGGCCCAAAAAATTTTTACCCAAAAAAATCTTGGTCAAAAAAATTTGGTCAAAAAAATTTTGACCCCAAAAAATTTTGACCCAAAAAATTTCGGCCCAAAAAATTTTGACCCAAAAAAATCTTGGTCAAAAAAATTTTGGTCAAAAAAATTTTGGTCAAGAAAACTTTGACCCAAAAAAATTCGACCCAAAAAATTTCGGCCCAAAATATTTGACCCAAAAAAATTTTGACCCAAAAAATTTTGATCCAAAAAGATTTTGACCCAAAAAATTTTGACCCAAAAAAATTTTGACCCAAAAAATTTCGGCCCAAAAAATTTTGGGAAATTTTGGGAAAAAAAATTTTGGTCAAAAAGATTTTTGAAAAAAAATTTTTGGTCAAAAAAAATTTGGGAAAAAAAATTTTGGTCAAAAAGATTTTTGGAAAAAAATTTTTGGTCAAAAAAATTTGGGAAAAAAAATTTTGGTCCAAAAAACCTTATAAAATTTTTAGTCAAAAAAATTTTGGTCAAAAAAATTTTTGGACAAAAATATTTTGGGAAAAAAAATTTCGAGAAAAAAAATTTGGGAAAAACTTTTTGGTCAAAAAAATTTTTGGAGAAAAATTTTGGTCAAAAAAATTTTTGGTCGAAAAAATTTTGGTCAAAAAAATTTTGGTCAAAAAAATTTTGGTCAAAAAAATTTTTGGTCAAAAAAATTTTTGGTCAAAAAAATTTTGGGTAAAAAAATTTTGGTCAAAAAAATTTTTTTGGAAAAAAATTTCGAGTAAAAAATTTTCAAGAAAAAAATTTTCAAGAAAAAAATTTGACAAAAAAAATGTTTGGAAAAAAATTTTGACAAAAAAAAAATCCACTAAAAATTTTTGGGCAAAAAAAATTTTTGACAAAAAATTTTGGCCAAAAAAGTTGGACAAATAATTTTTTGGCAAAAAAAATTAGACAAAAAATTTTGGACCAAAAAAAATTTAAACAAAAAAAATTTGGACAAAAAAAGCTTAAAAAAGAGCTTTGAAAAAAGCTCAAAAATACAACCAACCAAAAAAAAACTTAAAAAATCAAAGACAAAAAAAATTTTTGACAAAAAAAATTTTTGACAAAAAAAAATTTTTGACAAAAAAAATTTCGACAGAAAAAATTCTTGAAAAAAAATTCGACAAAAAATTTTTTAGGAAGAACATTTTTGGAACAAAAATTTTTTGAAAAAAAAATTTAGAAAGAAAATTCGCCAAAAAAATTTTTTGGAAAAAAAATTCGACAAAAAATTTTCGGAAAAAAATTTTCCACAAAAAAATTTCAACAAAAAAAATTGGACAAAAAATTTTTTGGAAAAAAAATTTGGACCAAAAAAATTTAAACAAAAAAAATTTGGACAAAAAAGTTCAAAAATACAACCAAAAAAACTCAAAAAATCAAAGGCTAAAACCTTTGAAAAAAGCTCAAAAATACAACCACGCAAAAGAACTTAAAAAATCAAAGGCTAAAAAAAATTCGACAAAAAAATTTTCGGGAAAAAATTTCGACAAAAAAATTTTTGGAAAAAAAATTTTCACAGCAATTTTTTTGGAAAAAAATTTCGACAAAAAATTTACAAGATTAATCCTAAATGAACACAGAACCCAATTACCAAACTCTTTAAATCCAGTAAGAATCTTCACGAAAAATCTAATCTGCAATGTTTTAAAGGTACCGTTCTGAATATGAAGGCGAAATTCTTTGAAAACTGCAAAAACAGTCCAAATCCAATTATAAAAAGCCTGGGATTATAAAAAACAATTGATGGTACGGCAAATACGCCTTGCCAAACCACTTGATAGAGGAGTAGTATTCGAAATGATATAGTCACACCTAGCCAGCCATTATAATATATTTTAGTTAGTGTTAACTTAGTTGTATAAGTTGTAATTTAACGAATAGTGGTTTTTGTTCTCATTTTTTCACTTACTGTCTGATATGTAACTAGCTTATTGGCCTTATATATAAATTGCAAGTAGTTGGTATTGGTATTTTGCTTCGAGGCAAGTTACATGAACTTCCCGATATGTGTAAATAATCGACTAAATCAATAATGAACAAATTAATTTATGAGTGATTAAAAGTATTCCGAGTGGATTCATCACACATAATTGAAAACGAACGAACACGTTAACTCGGAGTATTTTCAATAAGCAAATTTTCAAAAAACAATAATTTTTATAATTGAACCAGTTTCCGTAAGACTTTAATGGTTCAGTATGTTCATCAAGACCAAGTACTCTATCATTATACCAAGTGAATTGTCTAATTTTAATTTTAACAAACGTCAACAAAACTACTCATTTTCTCAAACTTTGATGATTTTTTAAAATTAAACTACTTGTCGTAAGGGCGTAATATTTCAGTAAGTTCTATAAGACCATGATATATATCGCCAAAAAAAGTTCCTTAAAAAACGGCTTAAATTTTTTTTTCAACAGTTAATTACGAGAAAACGGCTCCGTAGATTTTGATCTAAAACTAATCAGTATCATTCCCAACTAATATCTTTCGAACAGTTTTTGATTTTTCAAAATCGATTCGGTAGTATGAGCTTAAATGTGGACGAAAGGTTTAACACTTTTTTTCCAAATTACAAAGAAACGGCTCGGCAGATCGTCTCACCACACTGACAAACGATAGTCCTCATCGAGATACATCAAATGGCTTTTAAATTTCTGAAATCGGTTCAGGCGTTTTTGAGAATACGTCGATCAAAAGTCTAATTTTGACAAATGCCAAAAAACGATACTAATTTTTGCAAACTTTGAAGAATTTTCAAAATTAAACGGCTTGTCGTAAAACCGCAAAAAAAAAATCATAAAAATAACCGATTTTTTTTTAAACTTTATTACAAGAAAACGGCTCGGCCGATTTCTACGCGTATATTTTGTCCTCATTTTATTTATTCAAATTAATCAGGTTCATTTTTTCTATTTGGACTACTTATGTTGAATTATTATTATATATTAATTAAGAAAAAAAAAATTGGGAAATGTTTTGGGAAAAATGTCAAAAAAATCAACTTTTGTCAGTAAAATTTGAAAAAAAAACATTGACAAAAAAATTAAATCAAAATCAATAAAAATCTAAAAATTTGAAAAAAAAATTGACTAAAATATTAATAAATAATAATAATCCATAAAAAATTGAAAAAATCTTTGGGAAAATAACAATTTTGAAAAAAATCATGGACAATAATCCATGAAAAAAATTTGGAAAATAGTGACAAAAAAATTTTTTTTTGAAAAATTTTGAGAAAAAATTTTGGGAAAAAAAATTGGGGGAAATTTTTTGGAAGAAAAAAATTAGATAAACAAATTTTCGGGAAAAAAATTGAAAGTAAAAGTGAAAAATATGTATGTTTTGACACGTTATGATTTGAGAGAAAAATGTAGATGTAAAAAAAATAATGGATAGTAGTTCATAAAAAAATTTGCAAAAAAAGCATTGGCCAAATATTTATTTATATTTTTTGCAAAAATATTTTCAGTAAAATTTGAAAAAAAATAAATCAAAATCACTAAAAATCTAAAAATTTGAAAAAAATGAACTAAAATAATAATAAATAATAATAATCATAAAAAAATTGAAAAAATCTTTGGGAAAATAACAATTTTGAAAAAAAATCATGGACAATAATCCATGAAAAAAAATTGGAAAATAGTGACAAAAAATTGACTCTCTAATTAAAAAAAATCATAATAAAAAATATTTTGAAAAAAAGAACAAAATTTTTTTATAAAAAAATCAAAAACACGTTAAAATTATAATATTATTAAGGGGGTATTCTAGTGTAGAAATTAAAAGAAAAATGATTTTTTTTATTTCATATTTTCAAAGTTTAACTATCTAAAAATATGGGTACGAGAAGGTTTTTGAAAATTTGAATTATTTTCGGAGATATAGGCAATTTATTAACTCGGTTTGCATACTGGTTTGGCTTCACGCAAAACTTTAAATGCGTTTTTCTCAGAACAGACTTTTTTAATGCTGTTGACACGATTTCTCGACTTCTACTCGACCGATTCACTTGAAATGGTCAGAGAGTCTTGTTTATAGACCTATAGTCTGAACTAGCATCATCCCCAAATTCCAATCTTTACTATTTTTAAAAAATTCGAGAAACTCAAAAAAACAGTTTTTTTTCTAACAGTCGCCAATTTGTACAAAAAAAATCTTTTTACTCATCACTAGTTCTGCCAGTTTTTACAATTTTTAACTTTTTTATTTTTTAATTTTTGTTTTGTATTTTAATAATATTAACAAACAAGTGGTAGAAAAATGGATAGTTAAAACATTAATTGCTTTCTTTTACGACACTTCAAAAATGACCTAAAATTCATCACTCTACACTAGAATACCCCCTTAAGATAATGTTTACGCCATTTAAAGAAATTACTACATTACATAATTATTTTCTATAAAATATATAGATACTATACAAAATAAAATATTTCCACATTTCGATTAAAACTATATTTCAGAATGTTTCGATATAAAACAAGTGATTTCTTATATATCATAATGTTGCACAAATTATTATGCAGCCAATTTAGTAATCCATTTATGCATTAAATATATTTTAAACAGTATAAAAGCATATAATAAGTGTACTTTATCAAAGATTCCACAGATACTGCTTTTGTTTAAAAAACATTTGCATACTGTTTCAACAATAACTAATATCTAATTACTGATAAATGTATTAACTAATAAAAATGAGCAAAGGTCGATAAAATTTATTGTTAATAATCATCAATAAATTCATGGAGCGATTTTGCCGTAACAGAGGTTATAAAATAGCGTTGTCATGGCAACGCTCTCTTGTTCTTGGTATTGAAAATTATGAAAATGCCTATTTATTAACTCCTCGTAGGGTAGTTATAGTAATGGGTCAAAAATCGAAAATAAATTTTTTTGCATTTCTCGGCGTTTTGAAGGTTTCTGAACATTATGGCATACCTCAGAAAAAATGGATGTGTGTGTGTGTGCTTTGTACGTCCGCATTCTTTCGTCCACGTTTTCGGGCGCACGGATCAACCGATTTGAATGGCTTAAAAAACATTCGATTCCTATTAATAGAGAAAAGAGCTGATTAGTTTTTAGCAAAGGCAGGTCCAGCCGATTGGGAGATACGGAGCAAAGAGTGCAGAAAACAGAAATCAAGTTTGAGAGAACGGTTTGTTTCAAATTTTTTTTTTCAAAAAATATTTTTGTAATTTTGGATTAAAAATTCAAAAAAATTACCCAGGCTAAGCACAGTCTAAGCGCTACCCTGGTACAAATGTTTACCCAAGTACGTTTAGACTGTTTATGTACTGGAGCACTTTTCCAATTCGAATTTTGTGAAAACTATTGAAAAATGTGAAAATGCCGCCAAGCTAAGCACAGTATAAGTGAAAATGTCGCACAGAATTATTTCCAAATGCGTTTAGACTGTGACTATATGGGAGCACTTTTTCAATTTTGTGTAAATTAAATTAAGGCAACTATTTTTTTTTAAATTGAATTCGAAATGAAATGACAATTGTTAATGTTCTGAAGATAAATTGATGTATTTATGATTTACATTTGATTTGCTCAGATATAACAAGATAGTAAAAATAATGAAACAATTACAGTATTTGTAATAATATATTTGAAATATATATAAACAAGTAAGGAATAATTATTTATTTAATTTAATTATTAAGAAATAATATTTTCAATACCAAACAAAATCGTCTGTGGAAAATTATGAAAGATTAATAAAAAAGTAGCAAATGTGTTTGATCATACCATGCAATCTATCGATCATCCACCAGTAACTTCTATGGAGGCTCCATTGACATAAGAACTTCTACTCGATGCCAGGAATGCAATCACTTCTCCAATTTCTACAAAAAAAAATAATAATTGAATGATGTTTTAACTATTATTTAATTATAATTCATAAACACAATGATAATAATTTGCCTGACACACATATTATATAACAAATAGTTATATTTAACTATTGGTGCATGGCATTGTGCCTTAAGGCAAATTGCTGGAACTTCCCGTACCGTATTCAAATATTCGAGGAATACTAAATATTTTCAAATAGATTATTATAAATAAATACTGTAACATTGTCTAATATTTATAAGAATTATATAAACTGAATTGCAAAGTTGAAATTATTTGTTTAAAGTATATAAGTGAGCTTCAGAAGTGAATGCTACAAATACTTTTATATAAACAAGCCTAAAATTAAAATTATATATATATATATATATATATATATATATATATATATATAAATCTCGTGTTACGATGTTGGTTCGCGATGAACGCCCAAACTACTGAACCGATTTTAAATTTTATTGGCTCATCGTGTGCATATATATCCAAATAAGGTTATAGGAAATTTTGAAAAGTAAATTTGAAATATAAATATATAATTTTCATAAATTTCTAAAAATTTTGACAGAAAATGACCAAAAAAAACAAAACACTAAAATGACAAATGTCAAAATTTAAGGAAATTTCGATATATAATTTTTGAAAAAAAAATTTGACATTTCAAAAAATAAAATTCAAAAACATGTACATATATAGAAATATCCAACATTTAAATCCAAATTTGATAAAATGCTATATTCAAAATCACTGTTTATAGTTTTAAATCTTATTAAAAATCAATGCTTAAAAATTTGAATAAATGTTGACATGTAAAAAAATTAAATGTCATTTATCAGTATTTATGAAAATAATTATATAAATAAATTTACGATTTAGATTTAATTGATTAGCTTACCAAATTATTTCGGAAACCAAAACTTCATCAAAACATTATAGATCAGAGATCACAATAAAAAAGCGGCATATTGAATTTAAAATTAATCATAAACAAAATTTTGACATTTCACAAAAAAATGTTTAACGACTTACTTCAATTAGAAGCAAATAAATTAATTATTCCAAGTTATGTTATAGGCAATATTGCCAAGCAAATTATAGATACAAAACATTATTGTAAAATAAATACTATCATTTTCGACCAAAAAGGAAATATTTTGACATTTATAAATTTAGTGCATATTGCATATATGAAATTGACATTAACTATTTAAATTAAATGCAAAAGTAAAAAATCTGATAATTATATAAAAAATTATATATTTAGATAATGGTACTGCGTTGATTCAGACTAAAATCTAATTTATTCATTGATTTAAAAAAAAACATCACTATTTAATATAAATAAAAATAAAATAAACAAAACACTATGATGCGTTGGAATTAATTATCGAAATGTAAAGAGTGTAATAAAAATATTGCATTATTATTAATTTATCATGTATATTATAAGAACTTGGATGCGTAGGAATTAATTATGAAAATGTAAAGAAATTTGTGTAATAAAAATATAACATTATTATTAATTTATCATGTATATTATAAGAACTTCTGCAAAGCGGCAAAATATTTTTGATGGCGAAACAACGTTTGCCGGGTCAGCTAGTATATATATATATATATATATATATATATATATATATATCTTTACCTTCGGGTTGTCCAAAGCGTCTCAAAGCACTCTGCGCAACAATCATCTGTCTAACTTTATCAGGAACTGTATCAGTCATCGGTGACACAATGAATCCTGGCAAAACAGCATTGACTCGAATGCCAAATTTACCAAATTCCTTCGAAGCTGTCCTGGTCATTGCTTCCACTCCTGATTTGCTGGCTGTGTAATTCGCTTGACCTGGGATAATTGATAGATGGGAAAAAGATCATTAGTGCAATATTCTAGCAGAATATTTTTTGGGGAAGGGACAAGAAGGACTAAATAGGGGGCTCAGAAAATAAGGGGAGGGGGGACAACCAAAAAACGAAGAGGCAGAGCCGCGGGGGCGCGAAGAGGCAAAAGGGGCGAACGGAGAGAGGAGAGAGGGAGAGAGGGAGGGAGGGGGAGGGAGAGGGAGAGGGAGAGGGGAGAAGGAGAGGGAGAAGGAGAAGAGAAGGAGAAGGAGAGGGAGAGGAGAGGGAGAAGGAGAAGGAGAAGGAGAAGGAGAGGAGAGGGAGAGGGAGAGGGAGAGGAGAAGGAGAAGGAGAAGGAGAAGGAGAGGAGAGGGAGATTGAGAAGAAAAGGAGAAGAGAAGGGAGAAGGAGAGATAGGGGATAGGGAGAGGGAGAGGGAGAGGAGAGGGAGAGGAGAGGGAGAGGAGAGGGAGATGGAGAGAGGAGAGGTAGAGGGAGGATAGGTAGAGGGAGAGGGAGATGATGATAGGTAGATGGAGATTGAGAGGAGATTTATATTTATATTTATATTTATATTTATATTTATATTTATATTTATATTTATATTTATATTTATATTTATATTTATATATTTATATTTATATTTATATTTATATTTATATTTATATTTTTTATATTTATATTTATATTTTTTATATTTATATTTATATTTATTTATTTACCAATATTTCCAGTTTTTCCAACAATGCTTGCAATATTAACAATCGTTCCTGGTTGTTCAGCAGTCACCATCGCATTTCCAAATGTCTGCATCATTAAAAATGTCCCCTGCACAAACAAAACCATATACAAACCAACAGTCAAAAAAAAAAACAATACAACAATATATCCATTACTACCTTCAAATTAATTTTGACAACGTCATCAAAATCCTCTTCAGACATCTTCAACAAAAAATTATCCTTGGTAATCCCTGCACAATTCACCACAACACTCGGTGGTTTATTATATTTGCTTATAACGTCACTCAAAACTTTATCCAAACTGTTCTTGTTAGCAACATCGATTTCAAAAGCTGTGTGATTATTCTCATTGATTTTGGAGATTTCATCTCGAGTAATTGAAGCATTCTTCAAATTTCTATCTGCTGCAATTACACAAGCGCCTTCCCGTGCAAAAATGTTGCAGGTTGCTTTACCGATACCTGAACCAGCACCTGGTAAAGAAATAATAATAATAATAATAATGGATAAATGTTCTACAAAATTGATTTGATTAAAACAAGATCTTGATATCCTTTACATAATACATTAAATGTCATTTGTGTTAAATGAAATGTACAAACAACTGCTAATAAAAGCATTTTGAACCTTCGAATAAAATTTTAGCAAAATGTTAATAAGTCTCAATAAGATATTAAGGCTCGATTTAAACGGTAATTATAAAAATTATAGGGACAATTCAAGTATTTTTGTAAAATTTCATATATTGAAATCATCGTGCTCTGGTATAAAAATTTTTGACTACGATTGCAAAATATGTAATTTAAGTTTTACATATTATAATAATTATATAAAGTATTATAATAATATATAAAGTAATATAATAATTAAAATTATGCACTTATATTTATTATTAATATACATGTGCAAAAAATATTTAAATTAAATGAATAAAATAAATTTAAAACAAAATTTTGACACCTAACCTAACTTTACCATATAGACTCTACAGCCAAATGTGCATAATCAAGATATAATTACTTTATTTATTTTATTATTTTAGGATAATTATTATGATTACATGTTTAATTTACACGTAACAACAAATATATAAAAAAATTATTAACTATAATTTTAGATTTATACAAAACTTTGACACATAACCTCACATTATACTTTAGAGCCTAATTAATATAATTACATAATTACACCGAAACTAATATAATTATGTATTTAATTACTACACAATTATGAAATAGTATTAAAAACAATATAATTTATATAACAAACAATAGAATTTTAAATTTAAAACAAAATTTTGACACTTAACCTCACTTTGTCAAGTACCTGTTATTATTGCCAATTGATTTACTAACAAACGAGACATATTTTAATTAAATTTTAATAAATTATCATAGAATATAAATGCATTATTTATCAAAATGTTTTACTTATATACATATACTTATATAAATTAATTAATATAAAAAAAATCAGCTGAGTAAATAACAAGATGCACTTTGATAAATAATCAAATTTACAAGAGGACAAAGATTAGACTGATTAGAAAGTTAAATTATTTGAATAAAAAATGTATATGTTATAATATATATACACACATATATATATATATATACACACACACATATATATATATATATATATATATATATATATATATAATTTAAATAATTACCAAATATCCAATGAGTCTTCTTATTTATATATAATTAAACTATATATAATTTGTAAAATATAGACACGAGCCTTAATATTACACTGATGGCTTGTAAAATAAATATAAATTTTAATTAAAATAAAGGATACAATTTCTATAAGCAATTACTCGATTGCTGATAAATTTTAAATGTTTATCTCAAAACAATAAATTATTAACAAAATGGAACCATATAGTATATCATTGGATATTGTTAATTACATAATTATTTTTATATTCAGATTCAGTTTAAAATGTATTGTCAAAAAAAAATGAAATTCTACTTTCTAAAATATTTACAAAAGATGCTCGACTCTGAAATATTTAGAAGAGACTTTATAAACATATTTAGGTATCTTCCCCATGATCAACAAATGTAATAAAATGTGAATAAATTATCCCTAAAGTATTAAAACTTTCAGAGAATTTCTTTTATCAATTTGAATGCATTTGACTCTGAAATATTTAGAAGAGACTTTATAAACATATTTAGGTATCTTCCCCATTATTAACAAATGTAATAAAATGTAAATAAATTATCCCTAAAGTATTAAAACTATCAGAGAATTTCTTTCAATTTGAAAGCAAAGAAATTTGATAATATCTACAAACTGTCAAAAAATCATGTCTATTTTTAAAATCTAACCTCAAAATTTAAATTTAAAATTTAAAACTAACCTCAAAATTTAAGTTTAATTTTAAAATTTAAAACTAACCTCAAAATCTAAGTTTAATTTTAAAATTTATAACCAATCTCAAAATTGAAGTTTAATTTAGCTTCAAAAAGTCTGAATAATAACTTTTTAGACTTTGAAGTTATACTGGTGAAAAATTGTTATTAAACATGTTTTTGGATGTTAGTTTTAGCACAGTTACAACCTAACCTCAAAATCTAAGTTTTGATTTTAAAATTTATAACCAATCTTAAAATTGAAGTTTAATTTAGCTTCAAAAAGTCTGAATAATAACTTTTTAGACTTTGTTGAAGTTATACTGGTGAAAAATTGTTATTAAACATGTTTTTGGAGGTTGGTTTTAGCACAATTACAACTTAACCTCAAAATCTAAGTTTTGATTTTAAAATTTATAACCAATCTCAAAATTGAAGTTTAATTTAGCTTCAAAAAGTCTGAATATTAACTTTTTAGACTTTGTTGAAGTTATACTGGTAATAAAATTGTTATTAAACATGTTTTTGGAGAGCACAGCTAAGACATACCTTTTTGACAGTTTAATTATTAACTCATGATTGTAGACCCATAACATTTATATTTTATTTTAATTATAAAACTGGCCTTTAAGGGGGGCGATACATGTAACAAGAAAAAAAAAACGATTTTTTTTTTTTTCATAAATCGTTACAATAACATCTCAAAAATATGCCTGCAAAAATTCAAAACAAAATTATCATTATTTATACCTTAAAAACTCATTTAAGTGCCACGCCTCAACTCGACGCTCGAGTGCAATTGTACTCTTATCTGTTTCTGTGTCAAAACTTTAAACGCGTTTTTCTCAAAACGACATTTTTGAATACTGCGGGCGTGATAACTCAAAAAGTTCTCAACCGATTCCAATGAAGTTTTGCACACATCTACTTTACAGTAATAGCTTCTAGTTAAACCTCAAACATTCCAAAAAAAATTTCAAAAATTAACCTTTTTACCAAAAAAAACAGTGAAAAAATGGTGAAAAATCGAACTTTTTTTTTCTGCGGTCTGCCAATTTACGATTTTGTGACTTTTTTAATTTTTTTTTGGTTTAACTAGAAGATATATGTTTTATGAATACGTACAAACTAATTTTTTGAATTCAGATCACCGTACGAAAAGTGAGAACGCCCGCAGATTGATGGCGTTTTCCGAGAGGGTCTTGGCAGATCTATTTTTACGGCAGCCATTTAAAAAAAAAAAATAAAAAAAAAATGTTTTGTGTATTTTAATATATAATAAATAACCATAAAAAAATTCAAAAAGATTCAGTTATTCCTTCCCAGTTTAAAAAGTCCTCAAAAAATGGTAAAAATTAAGGCGATTACATGTATCGCCCCCCTTAAGAGGTTTCTGTAAGTTTTATAACTCACCAGGTTTATCAGTAAATTGTGTTTGAACTAACTTGTATATTGAGTCCTAAAACAATTATTCCTGAAACATAACAGAGTTCCTAAAATGTGCCCTGAAAATAATTATGCATTACTTTAAAAATATAGTGAATAAAAATAAAATTTGTGCTTGGTACAAATACTATATATTAATTTATCTCCAGTACATAATACCAATTTTTTATTATTTATCTTCAATGAAAAATTAACTTATGATCGTGGACGTTCCTTCTTTTCTCTGTACAAAGCTAACAAGGAAACATTGGCTACTTTAACAACCTGCAATGGAAAAAAAAACAAATACAACCTCATTCCAAAAAAAAACTATCAACTACATTAATACTAGTATTTTATCAGTTACAAAAACAGTAAGTAATCACCTAACACTCATGGGATTGGCTCTGTATTTTAATTCATCATAATAAAAAAAATAACATAACAAACAATCGATCAATGTATCATTTATTACCTTGAATCTGACTCCGGGAATGTCACCAACGGCATGACCCTTACGACCGAAACCTGCAACCAAGACTTCGTCGTTCTCTTCAATGTTGTTTAAACAACCGTCCCGGGGTACGAAGGCCGTGATCTTTTTGCCATTTTTGATCAATTGGACACGGACACACTTGCGGATGGCAGAGTTGGGCTGTTTGGCTTCTACGCCACTGAAAGAGGAAAAAATAATTAGATAAAGAAACAAATTTGTTTCATTTAAGAGATTTTGATAGATAATCTATTTATTATGGATAGATTTATTTATTATGGATTATTAGATTTAATATAAATCTAAGTAAAATTTCATGAATTTGATATAAATGGACTACTTTTTTTTTATTAATTTTAGAAAATAAATATCGGGGATTTTTTTATATACATATATATATATATAAATTGGCTTGCTTTTTTTTATTTAACTAATTGTATATATAGAAGGAATGTTAAATATCTAAGTTGTTGATTTTATAAAATTCTATCAAAATTATACAGTTAAAAAATAAAATAGAATTATGTAAAAGAAATGTCAGCCCTAATTCCATAAAATGGCATACAAATTATAATATAAAACATCAAAATATGACAATATAAATTTAAAATTATTTAAATTATATAATTTAAATTTGAATTAAATATTTAATATAAATAAAATTTGAATGTTGTAAAAAAACGCATAGTGTAATAATAATGTAAATAAAATTATAAATTAAAATTAATCGATTTTTTTTGAAATTGACATAAAATGTAAAATAAAATTAACAATTTTGTAAAAAAAGATGATGATTAATGTTATATCAAGAATTTAGAATATAAAGCTTATTGAAAGTTATTTTTTCTAAGAAATTCCATTAAAAAAATTTAATATAAGTATGTAAGATAAAGTATGTAATGTAATAAAATTACCATATTTAAAATCATAATTTCGTTAATATAATATAAATTATTTTAAATAAGTAATAAAATAAGTTTATGTAAAAATGTGAGGTTAATTTTGTGTTAAAATGCCATAAAAAATTTATATAATAATTAAAATATAAAAATAAAGCAAAGTAGTTAATTCTAAAAAATTAGAAAATTATAACATTAAAAAAGAATTATGTAAAAGAATGTAAAAGTTATAATGTATAACTAAGAAAATTAAAAAAATAAAATTATAAAATAATATTCATATAAAATTATATTATTAAATTATTTGAATATAAAATTATATTATGCAAAACAAAGTATGAAATGTAATAAGATTACCATAATAATTAAGTAAAATTTTGATGAAATTGTAAAAAAATATGCGAGTAATAGCCATGCATAGTAATAATCTTAAAATAAGATTTATTTAATTTAATAAAAGAATTAGAAAAAAGAATCAAAAGATGTAGGTAATATTAACCTTAAATATAATTTCATTTTGAGGTTAAATTAAAAATGAATTTGATACAGAATTATTTAAAAAACTGAACAGAATTTTTTTTTAAAAAAGTCCATATTCAGGACTACCCCTATATAGTAATATTTATTAATAAATTTCATTATCCAAGCGCACATCACCGCTCACAGTATTATCCTGTGATTGAACATAAAACAAGTCATTCACAAGGAAATACTGCGGGTGGTAAAATGCAAGATAAACATCTCGAAGACCAAACAACCTTGAGTTGCTAATTCATTTGACTTAAATCTCACAAATATACATCGACAACTCATCTGCACATTATAAATATTGAAAATTTTAGCAAATTTGTACAAAATTAAAACATTCACACCATCACAGTGCCCAAGGGCATTTCAGAAATTAAAAAATAACATTTGAATCGATATTTTATATATATGCCATAAAGTAAATAACATTTGATTTAAAAACAAATTGTATTAAGGGGGTATTCTAGTGTAAAAATTTGAATTCTAGGTCATTTCTGAATAATCAAAATGAAGAGTAAACAATTTTTATACTGCCACCTTTTTTATAATCTTTATCAACATTACAAGAGACAAGATTAAAACAAAATTAATTGAATTAAATTTTACAAAGAAACAAATCAAAACAAAGTAGTCAATTCTAGTAATCCAAAATGGAAAAAAAAGATTATCAGTCTAGAATGACGCTGCAGATCAGTTAAACAATTTTAGACACAATGGTGACTGTTAGAAAAAAGTGACTTGAAAAATTAAATGAGACAGTTTAGGGATTCACAAAAGGAAGAAAACTGTATCTCCACAAATAAATTTAATTTTTAAAAAACCCTCTTGTACAATATTCTTAAACAATGGAACTTTGAAAATATAAAAAAAAACTTTGTGAATACCCCCTCAAGAACAAATTGTCTCAGAAAAACTGTTCTTTTAAATGAAAACTGACTTAGTAGTTAACTTTATTAAATGTCAACATCACACGCAAATACTTTAAAATCCAGAAAGAAAGAGCTGTATCTCCAAAAATAAGTTAAATTTTTTAAAAACACTCTCTTACCCATATTCTTAAACAATTGAACTTTGAAAAACAAATTTTATAAATACCCCCTTAAAAACAAATTGTCTCAGAAAAACTATTCTTTCAAATAAATATCGACTTAATAATTAACTTTATTAAAATGAAATTAAAGCATTAAATTTATATAAATTGAAATACTATAAAATCATGAAGGAATATAATAATTGATTCATATGAATTTAAACCAAATTAGAACCAGAATTATATATTTAAATCAAGTATAATTCCAATATCGATATAAATCTCATTCGTAAACCAGAGCATCATATAACAATGACTCGACAATTGCAAATCGAAAACAAAATGAATTCGTGAAAATATTTTGAAATAAAGCACACACTTTGCAAATAGTGAAGCATTAAGTTATATTATCTCAATATAACTTTGGGGCCAGAATGTAAGTCTTATAACACTTTTGTAAGAAAAAGTAATAAAAACCGCTTGGCATATACCTAACCTAACATGACAAACATGGAGGCTACAAGTTGTAACATGAAATTATAAGCCACAAAAATGTATATATGTGTAAATTTACGTATCAAACTCGCAATATTAAAATTCTAACATTGTAAGTTTGAATGGTTTATAGACCAAGGGCAAAATTGAGTTAATAAAGTGACTTTTACTACTTACACTTTCTCCAAAACGATTCCCTTAGCGTGAGAAGCACCTCCGAAAGGATTGGCCTTCCACCTGGTTCCTAAATGAGCCTTTTTGTAGTCTTTGTCGGCCCACCTTTGGTCACGACGATGGTTAACATGTTTTCTAGCAGTACGAAGACCACGGGGCTTACCTACATAAAAATACACAATCAGCCTTCCAAACTACATAAATACAAACACAAACTACATCCCAAAACGTCGATCAAACATTGGATTACACGGATGTAAATTAATCAATCATAATACGCCATTGCCGGGAACGACTAGAATTGACTCATTGTTTTATTACAAAATACTCACTTGGGATAAATTACATTATAATCCAATGCTCGACGCACGTTTCAAGAAACACGGACACTATTTTCTAACACTAGATATGTTTAGGAATGTTTTAAAAACGCGTGTGAAAACTTACCCATCTTGTATGTGTTTCACACAAGAACTCGGCGGAAGCGAAAGAAGTAAAAAGAACGTGTGCGAACGATCGTCGACGAGACGAGGACGGCCGAGAAGTTGGGGCGGACAGGGTGGCCAACAAGTTAAACGCATTTATGAGCTGTCAAAAATTTGAAATTTGGCGGCAAGAATTGTAATAAAGTAAAATAATTGTTACAAAGCAAAATATATATTGATTATTATAAAAACTGGGTGTAAGTGTAATTTTGCTTTAAGGCAAGTAGCCTGATACGTGTAAATAATCGACTTAATTATTAACAATAGATTTAACCATTGTTTTAAATTATGATTTTCATTTAAACTTCATAATATTTATATTTTTGCATCTGAGCATTTTATCTTACATTTATAATTAAATTAATATGCCTAATTATTTTGTATTTACTACGTTATATCACTAAATATTAATTGTTAATTTATAACTTTCTCTTACTGCTGTTATGAAATTTTATTTATAATTAATTAATTATGAAATAGCAGTTTTTAAGTACTACAAATTATGTATAAAATTGAATCATTTATTTGTTTTATTTTATGTATATTTCTTATAATATTTAAAAAGTAACTTTCTGTTACTGCTCTTAAGAGAGTTTATTTAGTTCACTCATTTATTTTATATATATTTTTTAAAATATTTAAAAGATTTTTTATCTACAAATTATCATATAAATCAAACTATTATTTGGTAATTTTGCAAAATGAAAAAATTAAATGTTTAAATTTATTATTGTAATTGATATTTTATAACTTTCTGTTATTGTTTGAAAGAGATTTTATTTAGTAATAATTAAATATTAAAAATAATATATAAAATTCACCCATTTATTTTATATATATTTTTAAAAATATTTAAAAGATTTTTTATCTACAAATTATCATATAAATCAAACTATTATTAGATAAATTTGTAAAATGCAAAATTAAATTGTTTAAATTTATTATTGTAATTGTTATTTTATAACTTTCTGTTATTGTTTGTAAGAGATTTTATTTAGTAATAATTAAGTATTAAAAATAATATTTAAAATTCACTCATTTATTTTATGTATATTTTTTAAAATATTTAAAAGATTTTTTAAAACACAAAAATTCAATGTTCGAATTTATTATTGTAATTGTTATTTTATAACTTTCTATTACTGTTTTTGAGAAATTTCATTCAGTAATAACTAACTAATGAAAATAATATATAAAATTGCTTTATTTTTTATATAATTTAGAAAAAATTTACCTACGATTTATCAAAGTGATAAATAATTTATAATTTGATAATATGTTCATAATTTCTTAAAATCTGAATAAATTCACTTTTTACTATTGATATATTTAAATTTATTTTAAAATTTAAAAGACTCACTAATTTCATTGAAAAATTTTAGTTTAGGTAAAAATATTGTTTAGTATTTCTGTTATAAATGTAAAAATAATTTGTTTAAATTTAGTAATTTTTAGTAATAACAGTTATAACTGTTATTTCTATTATTATATTTTATTACAAATTAATCATATAATAAATTAAGAGCAACTTTATTTTGCTTCTTATTATATTTTTTATCCTAAGGATAAATTTATATTTTATTTTTGTGTAATATATTTAATATATAAAATAATAACATTTATGTTATTTAGGACATATAAATTATTTTACTTTTCTTTGCAGCAAATGCCATTTTGTTTCTTTCTATATTTAATTTTTTATTCAAAATAATTTTTTTTTAATTTCTTTCTTAGTTTATTTTTTTAAGCTTAACATGATATAAATATATATAATTTTAAATGAGTCTGGGGTTGAAGATTTTATGCTTCTTCTAATATTACAAATAAAACTCTTCTGGCTTTTATAGTGAATAAAATCCTTAAATAAAAATAATAAAAAAGAAACCTTATTAAAAATTAATATATATATATATATATATATATATATATTATTAATATTATTATTGTTAAATAAAACATACTTTGCAAGATGTTCATCCTTTATTCATTGTAAAAATAATGGAATGTTTTAAACATACAACAACACTACCGCCAGCTCCTTCTCTCATCAAATTATGTATTTATCAAAAATACATTCTACATCTTGCTACACAACTTGTTATACAATTAAGAAAATATAATTTTTATTTATTTATAATTGATTTTCAATTATCGATCAAACAAACAAACCAGCAAAAATATCTATATAAATTATCAAACTATATATAAATAACAGATATTTAAATAACTCTTCATTTATCTAAATCTAGGAGAATACACTTACAGGTCTTATTATAACAAAATATATATATTTTTACTATAGAGAACTTTATTATAAAACTAACTACATGGGATATGAATTGATAAAAGTAAAATAAACAGAAATAGACAATGTGTATGTATATATATATATATATATATATATATATATATATATAATAGATGGTAGAGTCTTGGATTTGTAAATATTTTGTAGAGCTTCGAATAAAGAATCCAAAAAGTAATAAAAAACAAAAAAGGTTTTTAAAAAACCATTTATTTATTTATTTACTATCGACGTTTCGGAACCAGGTACGTTCCATCTTCAGGACATATGTTAGGAAACATGGTCTAAGATAAGATTTAAACAAACAATATGTTTAAGAAAAGCAGAAGAATTTTTTTTTATATAAAAGACATAAAATTATGGAAAAAATAATGTACAGAAATGTGACAATATAATCAAAATGAAAGTAACGAAAAAAAATGAATGGATTAATGGAAAATATTAAAAATGTTAAAAAATTAGCAAGATTTCAAAAGTTTTTTTTAAAAAAAGGTTTACAAAAAAAAACAGAATTTATTACTTGTATGATTGATTATACACTAACACTTTTTCACTAAAAAAGTTTTTATCAAAAAAAAGTGATTTTAAAAAACTTTTTTGTTTTTTATTACTTTTTGGATTCTTTGTTTGAAGCTCTACAAAATATTTACAAATCCAAGACTCTACTATCTAATATAAATATATACATATATACATATAATTATATACTAAATAAATAATAACAGTCAAAAGAAAAACATTTTTTATTAATTATATGTTTCGACGTTTGATGTGTGTCATCATTTAGCAAATCTGAAATACAATATAATAAATACAAATAAATAGAATTTGATGAAAAGATATATAAAATAGAAACAAATATTATATTAAAAACCAAAATTATTTAAAAAATATATATATTTACTAAAAATAATTAAATTATTAATTATCACTTTTAGTTATGTGTTTTTACTAATTGTGTTACTAATATGTGACGATTTTCTTATGAATTTAAAAAAAAATTAAACTAATTTTATCGTTTTGTATTAAACTAATTTAATTGTTTTATCCTGGTTTGTATATATATATATATATATTTCTTTTCACTTTATATATTTTTTCATTAATTTTTCCTACACTTTTATTCATTATATTGTATTTTAAATTTAGATTGTATTTGTAATGATGACACAAATTAAGTGTCGAAACGCATAATTAATAAAAATTATTTGGCGAATGGGCTGCTAATTATTTTCAAATATATATATATATATATATATATATATATATATATATAGGGTGGTCCTTAATATGGACATTTTCTAACTTCTTTGCCTACTGACACTTAAAAATATTTATAAATCACTTAACCTCTAATTAAATCCATGTGGACTGTTTAACGAAATATTTATTCATCGTGGCATCAAAATTGATTTTGCAACAAAAAAATTATTTAATTGGTGATTTTGAAACTCAAATTATCAGTAATAAATTGCCATCAAAATTACAAGTCTGCTGTCACAGATGGCGCAAGAATTTACTTAATAATAAATATACGAAACTTTTAATTGAATTGCGGACTATCTAAATGTTAATATTACGAGCTAAAATTTTTAGGGAATTGTTTTTTATTAATTTGGAAGCGTTTGAGCCCTTGGGAGCAAAGAAATTCGAAAATGTCCATATTAAGAACCACCCTAATATATATATAAATACAATGTCTATTTATGTTTATAGATTTTTTGAACTCGTCTACAATAAATCTACCAAAAAAACTAACAAACGCATTTTTGAAGCATTTTGCTATGAAACAATTTACTTTCCATTAAATCCATATTGTTCCTTATCCTTGTGACCCACATTAAATATTTTATTTAATTTCAAAAATGCTTCATTTTTTCTACCTCTTCCTCAAGCTCTTTGGAGAACAAGAATGCCCTGTACAAATTATTTCGCTAAACACTAATTAAATAAAATATTAATTCATTTTTCATAATCAACTCTTTATGTCTGTTAAAATCTAACGACGGACGATTGAGATTTTTGTTACAATTTTACAATTTTTGGTTGTTCATGATAAACTGAGTAATAAAAATAATATTAGTAGTTATATAAATATAAATATATACATATCTGTGTTTTAATTATCATCCATGGTTTTAATGAATTCGATTGCTGAACAGAATTGTATCCACCAATAGTGTTCGGCTCCTTGCAAGCAGTTACCATAAAAACTGTTTACGTACTCGACAGTGGACAATAAGGCAGGAGGATTGGCCTAGGGAAAAAATATAAATTAGTTGTAAGTGGTATTTTGCCTTGAGGCAAGTTGCATGAAGTTAAAAGTAATGAAATTTAAAAAATATTATGAATCATAAAAGAAGTATAAATATTAATTGTTTGCGTCCTCGATAGAGGCGCCACTGACTGTAGCACGTAAATTTACCCCTAGGTTCAATTCTGGATAAGATTTATATAAATGTATAATATAGAAAAGATAACCCAATTAATTTAAAACTAGTGGTGAATGGCATCGTGCATTGAGGCAAACTGCTGGAACTTCCCGTACCGCAATAAAATATTCGAGGAATATTGAATATTTTCAAATAGATTATTATAAATACTGTAACATTGTCTAATATTTATAAGAATTATATAAATTGAAATGCAAAGTTGAAATTATTTTTTTAAAGTATGTAAGTGAGCTTCAGAACTTTAGTCAAAATTAAATTTAAAACTAGTGGGGTGGGTAGCATCGTGCCTTAAGGCAAATTGCTGGAACTTCCCGTACCGTAACAAAATGTTCGAGGATTACTGAATGATTTATAAATATTGAGATTATTATAAATATTGTAACATTGTCTAATATTTATAAGAATTATATCAACTGAATTGCAGAGTTGAAATTATTTGTTTAAAGTATATTAGAACTATAGTCAGAATTAAAAATAAAATCTGAATTATTTTCGATATACAAAAAATTAAAAAAAAAAATGGAACAAAAAATTTTTTTTTCAAAATCAATTATTTTGTTAAGACAAGCAGAAAGTTCTTTGAATCATTCAAATCAGATGCTCTCAAAGTTCTCTCAAAAACTGCCATTTTTTGCACATTTAGCTCCGTATTTTCGAAACGGCTGAACCTGTCTTTGCCAAAAACTAATCACCAATTCTCCCCATCATTAAAAATTGAATGCTTTTTGAGTCATTCAAATCGGATGCTACCTTCTCTCAAAAACTCGATTACTATTTCCTATCAATAGGAATCGAATGTGCGCCCCAAATCGTCTACAAAAATTTGTATCCACACTTTCATACACACACATACATGATTTTTTTTCAAGGTATGCCGAAATGTTCAGAAACCATAAAACCTTTAAAGAGATTAAGAGGTCATAAGTAACATCGTGCCTTAAGGCAAATTGCTGGAACTCCCCATACTAAAAAAGATTTTTTTTTTAAACTTTGAGAAAATTAGATATTCGAAAAATTTTTAATTTTTGGTAAAAACTGAATTGGAAAAAAAATGAATTTTTTTTTTTGTTATTTTGAAATATTTTGGAAATTTTGAACTTTTTTTAAAGGAATCGCACTGCTTTAACGCATAGAGACGAAGCGCGCAAGCGCCGCCTTGCAGTCTAACGGGCAAACGATATTACGGAACCCATATAAATGTAAATAAAATTTATACGTATTATTAAAATCTCTATAAAATATCTAATAATTTGATGTGTATATGTCTAACGATAATTTCTGACCGCCAAATGACATCTTTTTAGCTTATTTTTATTGAGAGTCCATAAACGCCGGACCTGTGTTCCAAAAAATTTAATCAGTTCTCCATCTTGTCAATACAAGTAAAATGTTTTTTGAATTATTAAAATCGGACGATCCGTTTTCTCTTAAAAACTGAGTTACCATTTCTAGCACTTTTTGTCCCATATCCTCGGAACGGCTAGACCTGCCTTCGCCAAAAACGAAACAGCACGTCTCCTTATCAATACAAATCGAATGTTTTTTGAATTATTCAAATCGGTTGATCGGTGTTCCCGAAATCGTCGACGAAAATTTGTGTCCGCACATACATACACATACACACACGCACACACACACATATAACACACATACATCCATTTTTTCTAAGGTATGCCAAAATATTCAGAAACCTCTAAAACGTAAAGATATATAAAAATTTTCATTTTCGATTTTTTGCGATTACTATAACTTACCCTACGGGAAGTTAACTAGCAACATAAACTTATAACGTTATTTAGTGCAGTAAACGGAGCGTTTTAGGTCTGAATTTTTTTACTGTGCTTCGAATTTCATGAAATTTTGGAATTAGGCTCATCTTACCCTGAAGTTCAAAAGTGAAAACAATTCGGGTTGCGCCATCACCCCCCGGGGGGATGACACCCCTTCTCAATTTTTCTCAACTTTAGTGCAAACTATTTTCAGAAAACTCACGATTTTATAAAAACTTTTTTTTCCAATTTGCGTGGCCGCGCAGTCATTAAACATTTATAACTCTGTCAATTTTTATGTGAAAAAAAAATAAATAAAAAACAATAAAAAGCCAGAAAGATCCCTTTTATTTTTATCTATATGCTTTTGTACGTATCTCTTATTCTTTTTGAGATATAATGAAAATAATTTCGATTTTTAAAAAAATTGGAAAAAAAAGTTTTTATAAAATCGTGAGTTTTTTGAAAATAGTTTGTACTAAAGTAGTGAATCTGCTAAGATCCATCAAGATGTCTATAATGAAGTGAACTCTAGATGGAATGTGAATTACATTAATTCTGGTGGAAATGGCACTCATTAAACCATATGATTTATAAGAAAAAAACTTTGTATCTGCTTCTTATTTCCATGATAGCTCACTCATTTTACACGCAAAAAACTTGTAAGAGCACTCATTTTAAAGCTTATGTTGAGCACTATAAAACCCAATTTCACCGAAATGCATAAAATGTAAAACCTTGATACTAGATGGTTTTAAATACAACAATTAAATCTTGAACGAAATAAAAAACGACTTTGCTCTTTCAAATCTTGCTTAATATTTATCCTAGAACACTTTGTGTAATACCGATTTATTAAGATTTTTATTGACATTATTTTGTTCTTTACATAATTTTTGTTAAAATGTATATTTTAAAAGATATTTGCAAAAAAACGAACAAAAACGCCAAAAATATATGAATTTTTAGTGGCCAGTAACTTGAAAAGTATTAGTTTTTTTGAAAAACTATAGAAGACATTTTTTTCTTATAATTAATTATTCTATCGATTGCCGACGTTATTTTGAAAAAATGTGATTACACAATTGAGAAGGGGTGTCATCCCCCCGGGGGGTGATGGCGCAACCCGAATTGTTTTCACTTTTGAACTTGAGGGTAAGATGAACCTAATTCCAAAATTCCATTCAATTCGGAGCACAGTAAAAAAATTCAGCGGTTATACCCTTTTTTCCTTTCCGTTTACTGCACTAATTATAAAAACAGCTTATTGTATATCTCAATCTCCCCCCTTACCTTTATCAAAATGAAGACCAAAACAGGTACCAAATCATCAGCCGAAGGAGTGGCCCTTGGCGACGTCATGGCCAGCACGTGCATAACCGAAGTCACACACCTGGCAACACACCTCGCCTTGTCCCTGGCAGCCCGATAGGCGGACATCTGTCTGAGCAGCGCCTGACTTCTGGGCCACGGGGCTTCTCTCTGGTGCCTCATCGGAATCCTGAGGTCTCGATGGCTGACCGTGACGACACGAGACAGGCGCTCCATGTGGGCGTGCAGGACGTTGTCTCGGGCTATGTCTCCTTCGCCGTTGGGGTAGAGGGCGTTCAGGTAGACTCGGCTCATCACTATGCGTTCTATGCAGAGGGTGGCTGCTGCTAGCTGTTCTTCATTGGCAGCTAGAGGGTAAAAGATGTATGAAAGATAATAGTTATATATATATATATATATATATATATATATATATATATACAGTGCTGGATTTACAGTAGGGGCAATCGGGGCTACTGCCCAGGGCGGCAAATTTTGGTAGGCGGCAAAATTTGGATAATGAGAAAAAAATTCTATACAATATAATCAACTTTTTTAACAACATATTTTATTTCAAGAAATATAATTAACAAAACATAATACGATTGCAATGCAAAATTTTGGTTGAAATAAACGATAACTAAAATTTATTATTTTGCCTTGCCTCTCCCTCCGAACGTAAATTATCAAGTTGGTTAATAAGTTATCAAATTTGGCAATTTGGCTAATATAAAGATCCGTAAACAAGCTGAAAGTTTAAGAAAAATATGTTCTTCCAAGTATTTGTGCACTTCCAAGCTTATAGCGTAGAAAAAAAAATTTAAACGGGCCAAAATGCCAAAAATGATAATTCAGTTTTTGAGAAAAAAGCGTCGAATAACATTCAAAAAAAATTACAGAATTAAATAACTGCTTAAATTTGTGGGGGGCAGGTTTAGCGGTTTCAATGATCCAATAAAAAAAATTGAAAAAGAAACATTTGTCGGACAAAAGTGATCATAAGACATATGCACATTAAATTATCAGGTATTTTAAAGATATTATAATAATAAGTATAAATTTTGTTTACATTTATATAAGTTCTGTAACATTGTTTATCCGTTAGACTGCAACGCGGCGCTTACGCGCTTCTATATTTTGTCCCTCGCAGCTAAAGCAGCGCGATTGCTTTAAAAAAAGTTCCAAAGTTCGTAAAATTTCAGGGCTGATGCGGCATTTTTGTCAGTGCCCCGGGGCGCCAAATTTCTAAATCCGGCCCTGTATATATATATATATATATATATATATATATATATATTGAATAGTCTTGAAATTGATGATATAATATGTTTGAGTTAAAAAGTCGGGCGTTACATCAATAAAAAATAGTATGAGAGTTTTTAGAAATTTATTTATTTAAAATCCATTCGTTTCGGCTAGTATCTTAGCCTTCATTCAGTGGTAATCAATTTAACTATAAAAATTAAAACTAAATAAATAATATGTAAGAAATTTCATAGAAAAACAATAATAATAGTAATAAAACACTTACAATTTTGTATCCTAAAATAACATATGAAAACATTATTAATCCATGGTATGAGTATGTGCACATTGATAAAATATATATTTTTTAACATCACATATGGTAAAACACACAAATAAATATGATAACTTAACAAGTTGTCGAAACTATGTATTTACTGTTCGGAGTTTAAGATAGAAATGTCACATTTTTTCTTGAAGCAGTTTTTAACATGTGTTCAAATTTTACGGGCAATTTAAAAAGCGATGGGATCTTGTCATTTTATAAGAAATTTTAACACGATATTTAGGAACCACGTGTTTGTTTCGTTCAGGGCCGTATTGTCGAACCGTTTGTTTATGACTTTGTCGTCATGTAATTGTAAAACAACCCCTCAGCGAATCTTCTTTTAATTACGTTCTCTTCAAAATGTAAAATTTAAGGGTTGAAGAAATCTATATTACGGTTTAATTTAATATGTTCAGTTAACATCATTTTAAATAAATAAATTTTCAAAAACTCTCCTACTATTTTTATTGATGTAACGTCCGACTTTTTAACTCAAATTAAACACACACATACACACACACACACACACACACACATATATATATATATATATATATATATATATATATATATAAAATAATAGATCTATGTAATTATACTAGCTGACCCGGCAAACGTTATTTTGCCATAAAAAATATGTTTAGTATAAAATGTTTAGTACGAAAATGACTAATATGTATGTATGTATTTTTCAATTCCGCATTAAAAAATTACAATAAAAATATTCGCTTCATAATTAACAAAGTGTATTAGGGTTGGACAACCCTTAATAATAATAAATTGTATTTTAAAGAAAATTTTTAGATTTTTCTTCAAGCTCAACTATCTGAACTAAAATTATATAAAAAAATTCAATGACTATGACAATTAGTTATTTTTTACACTAAAAATTTTCTAGTAATATTTTTTATGGCTAAACGTTTTCCGGATCAGCTAGTATAAATATAGTATAAACTCGAATTCAGTTAATTATATTGATAAGGAACTGGCCACTTATAATTTATACATTATTATTGTTATTATATTATTCCTACCTTGCCAATTAACATCCTTCAGCATGCTACTGTGCATAGCTCTCAAGAAAGTCTCAAGTAAATCAATTTTTTCATCCGACAATCTCAAAGCACAAAAGTCCTCACAGAAAGTCGTCATTTCTCGCTCTCTGCTTTCGAGGAAAGCCCTGACACCCACTCGAAGTAAATGCTCATCACATGCTGTTCGCTCAGAGTTCAAACGATTTAAAATCCTAAAATAATAATAATAAATAATTAAACATATATATATATATATATGTATGTATATATATATATATATATATATATATTTATATTACTAATATTTATTATGTTATTGAGATTCATTTTCCATTACCTTTCCAAGTAGGCCAAAGTCTGCAACAAAACTCTTCTCGTGTTGACCAAATATTGTACATAAAGCGATCTAGACTGATATTCAAATTGAAGATCTCGACACAGATCCAGGATTCCATTGAGACCTGTAGATCTCGATAGTTGTTCTATACTTCTCATCGTCTCGTAGAGTTGCACTGATAGAGAGTTGTCATCCAGATTTGTGCTGTGAGACTCAGACAGAAGAATGCGCAGGAAAGTTGTTAGAGTGTTTTCAGAAAGAGCCTGAAAAAAAAAAGAATACTAGTTGGTATTGGTATTTTGCCTTGAGGCAAGTTACATGAACTTTCCGATATGTGTAAATAATCGACTTAATCAATAAAATATAAATGAAATTATGAGTGATTAAAAGAATTCCGAGTGCATTTATTACACATAATTGAAAACAAACGAATACGTTAGTATTTTCTGAAAGCAAATTTTCACAGATCAATAATTTTTATAAATAAATCAGTTTCCGTAGGACTTTAATGGTTCAGTATGTTCATTAAAACCAAGTACTTTATCGTTATACCAAGTAAATCGTCTAATTTTAATTTTAACAAACGTCAACAAAACTACTCATTTTCTCAAACTTTGATTAATTTTTAAAATTAAACTACTTGTCATAAGGCCGTGATATTTCAGTAAGTTTTATAAGACCATGATATTATATATTACCAAAAAAAGTTTCATAAAAATCCGTATGAATTTTTTTTTCAACAGTTAATTACAAGAAAACGGCTCGGTAGATTTTCACCTAAAACTAATCAGAATCATTCCCAACTAATATCTTTCGAACAGTTTTTGATTTTTTAAAATCGATTCGGTAGTTTGAGCTTAAATGTGGATAAAAAGTTTAACACTTTTTTTCAAATTACAAAGAAACGGCTCGGCAGATCGTCTCACAAAACAGACAAACTATAGTCCTCATTGAGATACATCGAATGGCTTTTAAATTTTTGAAATCGGTCCAGCCATTTTTGAGAAAACGTCGATTTACGGCAAAAAATGTGTTCACACACACACACACACACATACACACGCACACATACTTTTTCCAAATTTGGTCTCATTCGATTCAGAATGGCTTGAAACGTCGAGAAAACATAAAATTAGCGAATCGGATTTTTTGATGAAAACATAAACTTCTCCTTCGGGAAGTTAACTAGTTAACACTTTTGTCGTAGGGCCGTAATATTTTAGTATGATCTATAAGACTATGGTATCTACCGTCAAATAAAAAAAGCATGAAAATCGTCGAGAAATCATCACACAAAACTGACAAACGATAATCTTCATTGAGATACATCGAATGGCTTTTAAATTTTTGAAATCGGTACAGCCGTTTTTGAGCAAACGTCGACAGAAGATCAATTATCGGCTAACATACACACAAATATTTTTCCAAATTTGGTCTCACAAAATTAGGAAATCGAATTATCTGGCGAAAACATAATCTTCTTTGGGAATTTAATAAGTAGTAATATTAATCTTATAATAAAAATGAATCGCAAAATGTGTTGGCAAGCGCATAACTCAACAACGCCTTGACCAATTTAGCTAATTCTTTTTTTAAAATGTTCGTTGAAGTCCAAGAATGGTTCTTACGGCGAGAAAAAATCGAAGTAAATAATATATATTACTCACACAGCTCGTATTGAAGTCTACACTTTGCAAATCCACATTGGACAGAACCAGCCTGAGTTTATGTTTTGCATCTTCGTAATTGCAAGAAGAAGGCTCCATTGTTGATATGCTGTTACGCATTCTGAAAAAAAAAATTCAAAAAATAGTACTAATTGATTTAGTATATAGTTAATGTAGTATATTGAAGTAAAACTTCTTTAGGCGCGACTAGGGTGTAAATCCGTACAAATGCAACGGAAATAGCGTTACGCCCGCACTGTACGTCATTCGCTCTCGATGGAATCATTTCTATACTGGTCGATTGTGATTAGTCGTCGTGTATGTGAATAGAATTCTGTCGTTGTATGCGTATCGGCATAGATAAATAAACATTTTATTGTTAGTACAAATCTTGATTTAATGAAAAATGCCTAAATCAAAAGAATATTTTACCCTGTTTCTTGAAAATAATAAAACAAATTAAAAATTTGTGCCGTGTACTAAACGTAAGTTTATTGATTAGAAATTATTTCTATATTATTCGTAGTTTCTGTAAATCTTTGAAGTTATTAAAATGAAAAATATTTTTTAAGCAGACAGATATTACAGCTGTTCAAAGAATGAGATTATATCGCCAGCGAAAAAGTAAAAAAAATACAAGCAGTCAATTAATGCATGTTAATTTTAATTACATGAAGTTCTTCAAACACAATTATTACATGATGAGTAAAATTGCGAAAACAATATTTGTTCAGTCGTTGTTTAACATAATCCACTGTGTAAACGAATATTATAGAATTTAATAATCAGCAATTACTTCATTTCTCTAATAAAAATTCAAGTTGTAAATGCTAATTACAATGACAAACCGATCATGTAATATTTGAAGTATGACTTTAATTACATCATTGTTTTTAAATATTATAGATATTTTTAATGCTATTATAAATATATAATTTATAATTTATCATTATATAAATGTGTATAATGGTCGACACTAATAAATGTGTGCATCATGAGTGTCACCATATTACTGATAAACATTATTCAAAATTGTTATATGATGTATTTAATTTTACTTGAATGCCATCTTGTACAGTAGCAAATAAGTTTTAGTTCAATCGCATGTGAACCTTACGCGCACTCTTTTTATACCTTTGTTTATCTAAAATTGAATCCATATTATTATTGTCATTGTGTCGCAAATTATTCTTCTTGGAACATGAACTTCCACTGCCACTTCCTGTCGAGTCTGATGCACCAGAAGTTGCAGCTTCACTAGAACTCGAAATCTTTCTTCGATACTTTGCCAGAATATCTTCAGTGGTATCTAAAAATATATATATAAACGTTTATTTAGAATTAATTATCATTATGATTACACAGGCCAACAAAAAAAATGGTGCAAACTATTTAAAGCTGCTCTTAAGTATATTTGGGGCGCTGATTTCAACAATGACGTTGGTTTTTTCCTATGAGCTTTAGTTTTCAAGATATGATATATCTTCTATATATATAAAAATAAGTCGGGTTTTCCTTCCTGACGAAATAACTCCACAACGCACGAACCGATTTCGACAATTATGCATTCGTCGGAAAGGTCTCGGGCTCCGCAAGGTTTATAGCTAAGAAAATTAATTGTTCATGGCATCGTGCCTTAATGCAAGCTGCTGGAACTTCACGCACCGTAATTAAAAATTTGAGTAATGACATTAGTGAGAATTATCAGAATTATGCTTGGTAAAGTCAACGAGCAATTCTTGCCGCAAAGAATAATGATATACACGCACTGAATTTCACCATTAAATCAAAAATTGCTGGCGATTTGGTGACATACCAATGATTCCGACTGGTCTTCCGTTTGACTTCAAACGATTGCAATTTCCAGTTCGCCTTGAGTTCGCAATAACAAGTCGCAAGGCCAATCGCTTAGTGTTTGTGGGATAAATATCAAATAGATTTTTTAGAAAATCATTGTTTTTCACATGGGCAGTTATACGTTGCCTGTTCACGAGTTGGAAAACCATCCGCTTTGTTTGTGTTAACGTCAGACCAAAAAACAAAAAATGTGGTTTACCAAAGAGCACTTCAATGAAACAGATAATTTGCGAATTCACTTTCATTTACTTAGAGAAGTTCAACTAAGAAACACTTCATTTTTGTAATCGAAATAAATTCATTACTCTTGTATAATAAAACCAAATTTTTCCTTTTCAAATATAAAACAAACAAAAAATTTCTTCATCTTTCTCACGAAACCATCTGGTGGCGAAACGGAGTTCGTCGGGTTTGCTAGTATGATATATAAGGAATGAAAGTACAAAATAGTAATACAATTAAGAATGTCATTTTAATGAGATATGCCTACTCGTACATACAAACTTACAAGACCCATTCGGCCTTAGTTAGGACATTAGTTGACACTGTGAAACAAAAGTTCTTTTCCGTGACGACCTACAATGGACCTGGTTTCGGCAACTTTTTTCCAAGTTCCAAACTAGAGCTGATACAAAAAAAATGGTTCGCAGATTTGAAATCAGCGCAAAAAATACTATAAGAATCAGCTCTAACATTTGATGCACCAAACAAACAAAAATTTTGTAGGCCTGTGTTATTATTACCTTGATTGTTTACAACAGGCCTGCTGTCGTTGGTTTCCATATCATCCACTCCCCCCATCTGTCGTCTGCTATTGCCCCTTGTTTCAAATTCATCATACCTCTCAGCATCGTTCCTGCCACCTTTTCCTCGCCTCGACTTAAAACCTTGCTTCAATTTATTAAACATATTTCCCATTCCTCGTCTGACATCAAAATCTCTATGCGGATGGTATTTATCAGCAGTGCTGTCGAAGCTTATGCTCTTCGGAATAGCACCTGTAGAAGTCCCTGGTTTGGAAATTATACCTTCATTTTGACAGTCACTCTTCTTTCTGATACTATGGTAATGCGTGATACCAGATTGGACAGGACGTTGCCTTCTTGGGTGGAACTATCGGTTTGGAAGTCACTCCGAGCAGTGCTGTAATCAGATGTTTTCTCTAGAGGGTTGTTTAAAATATCCTCGTTCGAACCTGGTGAATGTGGTGTCAAGTCTTGGTTGTTTGCATTGGAATCCACATACTCCATAGTTCTTCTTCTGTATTCTGATACACTGCCTCCACGTCCAGTGACGTTGAAATTCTGTGCTAAACCATCTTCCAAAGAATCACCATGTCTTATGGATAAAGGATCACTTGGAATCAAATCAGGATCTTGTCCTTGCAACAATCCACCATCCTGTACACCTGCATCCTGTATGGGTCTAAACAGACCTCTCTCCGCAGAATCAGTGATGTCATCAGAAAATTTCCTGTCGTTATCAAAACTATGATAGCCATCCATGAATCCGTTAGCTCGAGCAGTGGTGGCCATGGCAGAGACGAATGGTGAGTTCATCGAATGGAACACATCGTTGTTGGTCATGCTGTTCCGAGGATTGAATCGAAGATTTGAATTAGCATTGCTGGTGGATTCGAGTTTGTTGTAAAATGCAGAGTCTGAATCGAAGGTGTTCAGGGTTGAATTTAGAGGGTTTGATGATAGTAATGATGAGAGGCCGTTTACGCCGCTGGGGCGGTTGCTGCCGATGCTTGAAGCACTACTGTTTCTAGTTCTGGAAACGAGAATAACTAGGTGTTAGTGGCATTTTGCCTTAAGGCAAGTTGCATTAACTTTCCGATACGTATACATAATCAACTTCATCAATAAGAATTGAGATTCTAGTACTTAGGTAAAATGTTCGCCTGTTATTTCGAAAATAATATGTTCGCTTATAATATCTATAATGTATGATTTACTAGGTGAATTACTGGATTAAAATAGTTGAAAGTGGCATTTTGCCGTCCGGCAAGTTTCATGAACTTCCCGAAATGTGTTATAATTAACTTACACACACAAACAATTTTTCACATTTATACGAATTATAAAGAAACGGCTTGGCCGATGGTCTCAAAAACGTATCCAACATGAGTTTCTGTCGAATTATATGAATTGACCTCTTAAAATGAGTTCAGCCGTTTTTGAGAATACGTCGACGAAAGATCAAACTTCGACACACACACACGAATTGAAGAAGATCGAATAGAACCAATTAGTTGAACAAAAAAAAGTTTAATTGTGACGTTGGCATTAGAGAATTCTAGAGCCTCCCCCCATGAAGTAATCGGAGGTATTAGGCGGTATTAAGAGCCCGACATACCCAGACATTTTTTTACACATGCATACTTTTTCCCAACTTGGTCTCATTCAATTCAGAATGACTTACGTCGAGAAAACAAAAAAAAAATAGCAAGTCTGATTTTCTGGCAAAAACAAACGTCTTCCTCGGGAAGTTTGTAAGAATAATAAAATGAACAAATTAATAACAAATAAAATATTGTACATTTTTAAAAATGGATGTTAAATAAACCAATTTAATGATTTTTTGTAATATCAAATTAATTTAATGGTAATAACAATAAATAATATGATTTTTATAAAAACTAGTGGTGCATGGTATCGTTTCTCAAATTTTGACAAATTTCCTAAAATTTGACATTTTTGAAAACATTTAAAAATCTGAATACTGAAAAAAATGCCTTTTTTGAAAATAATATTTTTTGAAATTTTGGAAATTTAAACAATTCTTCATTACGTCAATACAAGTGGAAAATTTTTTGATTCAAATCGGATGCTCCGTTCTATCACAAACTTAATTTTCATTTTCTTCACTCTTTGCTCCGTATCTCCAAAACGGCTGAACCGACTTTTGCCAAAAACTAATCGGCACATCTTCCTATCAATAAGAATCGAATGTTTTTTAGCCATTCAAAACGGTTAATCCGTGCGTCCGAAATCGTCGAAAAATTGTATCCATACACACACAAATAACCATTTTTTCTGAAGATATTAAGTAAGATATTCCAAACTTTTCAGAAACCTTTGAAACGTAATGATACAAAAAAAAATCATTTTAGACTTTTTTTTGCAAAAACATTGAATTTGTAGATCCGCTGATGACAAAAAAATTTGCCTTAAAATATTTAAAAATATTAAAATTCAACATAATTGCTTCGATATCTCTAAAATTTACTTTTATTATTCTCTTAACTAATTTAATTTAAAATGCTTTTTAATAATTAGATAAATATATTATTTCTTACCTTAATTGCACACTGCCATCAGAAAGTGGACTTTCCATATTGGAATTCTCGACAACATTAATATCTCTCCGAACAGCTTGTGGAGCGTAAATTGGACTTATATTAACTAGAGGTGAAAGTGGACTCGGATATCTGTGCAAAGAAAAAAAAACATTACATTATATTTATAATACATTTGAAACAGGAACACAAATAAATTAACCATTAAAAATTTATTATATTTTAGAATTAAAAGATTAAGTCCGTTTTAATTTTTTTTGGGTAATATTAATTTATATATATAATTATAATTTTGTATATAATTATATAATTTTAATTCTTGTAAATATATTACTAAATTTAATATAATATGCAATTTGTTAATACTAGATACTATTCTCTTTAACTCAATTAGTGACCCATATAGTGTTGAAACATGTAATTTTTCATTATTTAATTTATCATTGTTATCAAACTCAACTATTAAATTTTTTTGCACTCAGAGTTAAATAAAAAAATATACCTTCTTGGTAAATTTTGGTTAGAGGCTTGATTCTCGATAATATTATCTATATCTACTTCTGATCTTGCTGTATCTGTATCAGATCGAGCCACACTGTGACAGTCATCGGTGTCAATCTGAAACAATTTGAAGAAATAATAATACCCATTAAATTAATATTATATATATATATATATATATATATACATATATCATTTATCATCTTACCTCGGCTGTTCTTTCTGAATCGCTTGCCAAGACATCAGTCGACCAGGCAGATTCACTGGCAGCATCGCTTGCAACATCAGTAGGTTGTCTTTCTCGATCCCTGTCTCTGTCTGAAGTAGGAGGTGCTAAAACTATTCGATTATTTCTTTCCAACAAAACTGGGAGTTGTTGCTGATTTGGTTGATGGTGGTTACGGGCTAAAAGAGGAATAGAATATTATTAGAATATAATTGATGTAGCATTTATATGAAAATGTAATTCAATAGTTACCTCCTGAATAACTTCTTTCGTAGCTGGTTTCAACAGCTTCAGAATCTGATGCTAAAACATCAGTGGACCAGGTATCGGATATTATTGACACAGTTTCATCGCCTTCCAAAAGTTTCTGTATAGTAAAAAAAAGAACAAGTAGGTAATTTTTATACTATTTTATAATTTTATATTTATTTATATATATATATAAATATAATTTTTTACTATTTTATAATTTTATATTTATATATATAAATGTATGTTACCTTTATCTCGAATTTGCAAAACTTGTCCTGTATATCATTATTCCTAGCCTGTTTCAGAATCTTCGCACCGCCGCCTCCGCCAAATTTATTATTCGGCCTAGAATCGCCGCCATTCGGTCCCGGTCCGCCATGATTGTTTCCGTAACCCGATCCGCCGCCATTTTGATTGGAACCCCCGCCGCCGTTCTGATTCGGGCCGCCATTTTGATTATTATTATTGGGATTGTTGCCGCCTCCGCCGCCTTCTGTAACTTGGGAGGACGGAGTGTCCCTTCCTGAAATATTTGGCGAACCACGGCCGGAGACATTTGCAGAAGTCTAGGGAAAAGAAAGAAAAATAGATGAAGCTTAAAGGTGAGTGCATTAATTACGTGAAGTTTTTAGAGAGATTTGGGATTTGACATAAAATCACAAAATATCACGTGAGGAAGGAAGGGGTATAGTAAGATATCACGTGTATTTATTTTTTATACGGCTGGAGACTTTTGCAGATGTCTACGAAAAAAAAATAGGTAAAGCTTAAAGGTATTTAGGGGGCGTCCATTAATGACGTGAAGTATTTAGGGAGAGTGGGGGTTTGATAAAAAATCACGAAATATCACATGGGGAAGGTGGGATATAGTGTATATAGATATCGGTGTATTTATTTTTTATATGATTTTTTTTTAAATCCATACATTTTCAAAAAAAATTGCACAATTTTTCTCGTAACTTAAAATACAAGTAATGTTTGGTGGGTGAGAAAAGATAATTTTGAATATCACCACGTGTTACCAAGGGGTGGTCTAAAAATCCTTAAAAAATCGATCACGCTTTCTAAAGTAAAATAACACGTATATTTTTATTTTATATGAACTTAAAAAAAATCCAAACATTTTCAAAAAAAAAAACAATTGTATTTAAAATACTTGTGATGTTTGATGGGGAAGGGGTGGGAGTTGTTTAATTTTGAATATCTTCAAGTATCACCAAGGGGGGGTCCGAAAAATCCTTAAAAAATCGATCACGTGATTAATGGATGCCCCTTTAAGGAAAAAAGCCCGTCACCATTGTATCAAAAACAAGTAAATTTTGGTATTTTTTATCGATACTATTTTAAAGTAGAGTACACAAGGTATGTAACCAGCCATGGGCTTGAATCGAGCGACGTCGTTTTCAAGAGAGAAACGTCCACAATATTAAATCTTTTATCGAAAATATATTTTTGTTCGTTGATATTTTTTTAGATTTTGAGCACTGTTATTTAGTTTACGATACCTGAATATAATTTTTAACTTCTCTTCTAACGTAGGGTAAGTTACAGTAATCGCAAAAAAATCGAAAATAAAACTTTTTATATACCTTTACGTTTCAAAGGTTTCTGAATGTTTTGGCATGCCTTAGAAAAAAATGATGTATGTGTGTGTGTGTGTGTGTGCGGATACAAATTTTCGTCGATGATTTTAGAAACAAGGGTCAACCGATTAGAATAATTAAAAAAACATTCGATTCGTATTGATATGAAAACGCGCTGATTAGTTTTTGGCAAAGGCAGGTCGAACCATTTCGAAGACACAAGGCAAAAAGTGCCAAAAATGGTAATTGAATTTTTGAGAGAACGGAGGGTCCGATTTGTATGATTCAAAAAACATTTTATTTGTATTGACAAAATGAAGAACTGATGAAATTTTTGGGAAGGCAGGTCTAGCGGTTTCGGAGATCCAATAAAAAAAGTGGAAAAAATGCCATTTGGCGGACAAAAATGATCATTAGACATATGCACATCAAATTATCAGATATTTTATAGAGATTTTAACAATAAATATACATTTTGATTACATTCCTATGGGTTCCGTACCAATATTTATCCGTTAGACGGTGACGCGGCGCTTACGCGCTTCGATATTTCGTCTCTATGCAGTTAGAGCAGTACGATTGCTTTAAATAAAAGTTCAAAATTTCCAAAATATTTCAAATTAGAGAAAACATTTTTTTTTCAAAATGTCTTTTTTCTGAAAAAGTAAATTTTTGTCAAAAATTTATAGTTTTTCAAAAATCTAATTTTTTCAAAGATGTTAATATTTAAAAAAAAATAATTTTTGGTACGGGAAGTTTCAACAATGTGCCTTAAGGGGTTAGGGGTACTTGGGATTTTTGAAAAATCGATTTTTATTTTTTTGCATTTTCATTAAGGGTAACATCTTGAAAATATTCTCTGAAAATTTCAAGTTGATCCGATGATTACTTTTTGAGTTATTGGACTCTTACCAGCGCGTTGACGCAAGTGGAGAGCTCGATACTTATACTCAAGATTATTCTCCCTCACCTCCTGATGTTTTAAAAGCTTTTAAACCGATTTAAAACGATCTCAGCAATGATAATTTACTTTCAAGATGTGTAGTTCAAGATTGAATCCATAATCAGAAAAAATTAAGAGCTTCAACCAACTAGTGTAAAAATTATGCCTAAAAACCGTGAATACTAGTTCTACTATCGTACAAATTGCTGAATACATATACATAATCATTACTATTGATTATGAGTACCCTAGGACCTAATTGTGGGTATAATTCCCATTGGTATGCTGAAAAATTGGATGCAGCACGTGTGAAAGTAGCAGATCACGAGACGACACGGGAGGGCAGAATGCTTCGTAGGCAACACCAAATGAAAATTTTGGAAACTTCCACAATGGCTGAAGAACTGTTATATGGCCCAGGAATAGATGACTTGGTGTAAATGAATTAATAATTCGTATTTCTGTACGTAAATCCAATGTAAAACTTTGAACGCGTTTTTCTCAAAACTATGTTTTTTGAATCGGTGACCACTGTAACTCAAAAACCGCTTAGTAGATTTTAATGAAATTTATACAGCTTTTAGAATACATAATAAACTCGTGCCTGATCGAAGGATTTTTATTTTTTCAAAAATTTGAATTTTTTAAGACCAATTAACAGTTGATTTTTTACCCAAAAATCAAGATTTTTTCTTTCTGATGCTGCCATTTTGTTAATTTTTGCAAAAAAAGAAAAACCTTCGATCCGGCCCGAGATTAACTATTCATAAAACTATTTTTTTAATTTGATTGATTTTAGATGAATCTCCAAGGAGTTATGATGGTCACCGCCAGGACCGTTTTTCGAAACAGGGTCAACAAAAACAGCTATAACTTTGGGAATATTGATTTTTTTTTTCTGAAATTTTTGTTACATCAAGTCAAAACATTGGTTAATAATGCTGTGTTAATATTTTTGTAGAAAAACATCGTTTAATAACAAAAAAAAAATACTGAAAACACTCATTTTTTCGTGCCTGCAAGTACCCCTAACCCCTTAAGGCACGATTCCATGCGTCCCACTATTCCAGCAATTTGTCATGCAACAGTTAAGTTTCTTATTTTTCACTTACCATATCTGACAAATTATCATTTTGGTCCTCATGTTCCAATTCCAAAGAACTTGCTACAGAATGATTGCTTGCAGCTTCTGAAACCACTTCAATATTGTCACTAGCATTTCCTAAAGATCCTTCTTCGTGCGACAAGGAAAACCTGAAAATAAAAAAAACACATGAATTTAGATATATATAAATATTCATTTAGTGTTTTTTATACAAATTACCTGGTCCTTTTCTCGATACCAACACCACTACCTCTAACTGTTGCATTCGATTGATCCAAACCAATGTCGTTTGATAAAATGATACCGTCAACTGCATTCAAACGATTCAGTCTTGATAAATTATTTTGCATGTGACGATGCTCATGTGAAGGTAGTTCGAGAGCTAGAACTTCTTGTTCTGACATCACTTCTAAAAAAACAGTTGTAACATTATATATATATATACTAGCTAACCCGGAAAACGTTGTTTTGCTAAGTAAGGTATATTCTTAACAATTTCTAGAGAATCAAAAATATTAATACTTTTAGTGTATGAGGATGTGCTGTTTGAATGCTATAATACAATGAAGTATTATAAAAACAATAAACCACATCAGTTTGTCTATATTTTGTCAACACAATTAAACTGGAAGTTTTATACACATTCAATAGAAAACATGGTATAAGCCAATCCAAGTCTTTTTTGGTCTTTCGACTTATTGATTATGTTTCAAGTTTTTCAGATTGTTTTTGAAAGCTGGATTTTGTGTATAATTGTAAATAATACTACTGAGTTTATACAAAATTTTCAAATTTCTGCGAGGAGAGATAGAAAATGAATTAAGTATTTCTTCTTTGACCTGCTTTTTGAAAAGTTTCAAGTAACATTCGATTAACTAAAGTAAATTTAATAAAAAGAATTATGGATTTTCAAAGATAACCCTTTATCTCGAGATAGCAAAGTCATAAGAATCAAGGTTATGGCTGGTTATACATCTTTTTCCCTCTACTTTCAAATATTGGTGTTAAACGATGCTTAACTTTACTGGTTTTTGACACATCGGTGGTGGACCTTTTTAACCCCAGACCTTCATAAATTACTATCTATTTTTCAATAAATTCTGGAAAATTATAACTGGGAAAATGTTATTCAACAAAATGTCTCTTTGATCGATACCAAATTCAGGTTTTGAATTAAAATAACATAAATAAAAAATAATATAATCTAGAAAATGTTTTATAAGTACCAGTGAGTATATAATAATACACATGAGATCTTTCAGAGCACCGTGTTTGAGAAAAATATGCCAAAAAGTGCATTTTCATATTAACATTTCAAAAAAGTTGATATTTTGAGTTTGTAGTAGCACTTGCGGCCTGTTTAATAACGTTTTTGTGTACAAATAAAACCACAAACAAAACTACTCACTACAATTTAATTTTAATCATAATTAAATAATATTCACGTAAAACATCCTATTAAACGTAATTGAATATCATCTGTCAAAAACGTTTGACATTTGACGTATTAGCCACCGTCCATTGTTTTATTCAAATTACGCTTCTACAAAAATGTTCAAATTAAAAATGTAAAGTTTCTACGCGATTTTGAAATAATATCTCACCTTTCCGACAACCTACTGATTAGCACGAATTTTTCAAGACCAAGACTGGCCAAATCGGTTTAGCCGTTTTCGAGTTTTACCGAATCATTTGATAGAGAGCTCCATTTTTATATATAAGAAGATATACAAATATATAATACATATATTTCTTTTACTACCTATGACATCTCCTCCACAGATAGCCCCCGGTAAAGGAATCATCAGAACATCCTGCACAATATTTCTGTTATCATCGCTCATCAAAAAGTTGCAACAATTAGTGCCCGAACTAGAATTGCTCATACTCTGTTGATTGGTTAACGTTAGGCCTCCTGTTGATGTTGATGCAGAAACATTCAGAGCAGTTGATGATGTTGAATTACTGGCTGATCCATTGGTCGATGTCAAATTATTTGAGGAAGATGAAGGCAACGGATTGTCTGTCGGTGATGTATTGTTGGTGTCGGCGCTGTTGTATCTTGCTAGACGGGATTTTGAACCTGGGGGGAAAGGATACATAAACTAGTGGTGTATGGCGTCGTGCCTTAAGGCAAATTGCTGCAAGTTCCCGTACCGTAACGGAATGCTCGAGAAATGCTAAACGTTTTCAAATATATTATTACAAATACCGTAACTTTCATTATTTTTGCTATCTTGTTATATCTGAGCAAATCAAATGTAAATCATAAATCAAATTATCTCCACAAACATTAACAATCGTCATTTCATTTCGAATTCAATTTAAAAAAAAAAATAGTTGCCTAATTTACACAAAATTGAAAAAGTGCTCCGTATAGTCACAGTCTAAACGCATTTGCAAATAATTCTGTGCGACATTTTCACTTATACTGTGCTTAGCTTGGCGGCATTTTCACATTTTTCAATAGTTTTCACAAAATTGGAAAAGTTCTGCAGTAAATAAACAGTCTAAACGCACTTGGGTGAACATTTGTACCAGAGTGGCGCTTAGACTGTGCATAGCCTGGGTAATTTTTTGAATTTTTAATCCAAAATTACAAAAATATTTTATAGAAAATAAAAAAAAATGTAATAATTTTTTATCCTCAAAATCAATTGTTTTGTCAATACAAGCAGAAAGTTTTTTAGATCATTCAAATCAGACGCTTAATTCACTCAAAAACTGCCATTTTTTGCACATTTAGCTCTGTATCTTCGAAATGGCGGGACCTGTCTTTGTCAAAAACTAATCACCTCTTCTCCCAATTATTACAAATTGAATGTTTTTTAGATCATTCAAATCCGATACTCCGTTCTCTCAAAAACTCGATTTGTATTTTCTGCACTCTTTGCTCCGTATCTCCTAAACGGCTGGACCTGCCTTTGCCAAAAACTAATCAGCACATCTCCCTATCAATAAGAATCGATTGCTTTTTGAATTTTTGAAATCGGTTCATCCGTACGCCAGAAATCGTCGACAAGAAATTGTTTCCACACATACACATACACAGACATCCATTTTTTGTGGTATGCCAAAATGTTCAGAAACCTCTAAAACGTGAAGATATGCAAAAAATTGCATTGCAGATTTTCTGAAGTTAATAACTAGTTCAAAGTGGCATTTTACCTTAAGGCAAGTTGCAAAATCCTCCCGACAGATGTATTAATTGACTTAATCGATTGATATTGGGATTTAGATAATTAGATAAAATTTTCAACTGTTTATTTAAAAAATCAAGTTTTCGCTTTTAAGATAAAACATCGCGATTTCCAATTGCATTTTCTCAAAATACATTTAAATTAACCGTAATTACATTATTGTAGCCTTTTATTCTATATTTTAATTAATCATATATAATTCAACCAATTTCCTTAGAACTATTTCGTGCATGGATTTTATGCAATGTTAAATTTCATGAAAAACGTCGAAGCATTTTTATTAAAAAATACTTAATAAATTATTTTGTGAAATATCAAGTATACAATGTAGTAATATACTGTTCATTTACTTTTTTGCTAATTCCAAAACCATTTCTAATTGACTTGATTGATTTACCACATAAAAAAGCGACTTTTGACATAAATGATTCATATTTTTATCAAACTTTGATGAATTTTTAAAATTAAACTACTTATCGTAGGGCTGTAATATTTCAGTATGTACTATAAGACCATGATATCCATCGTCAAAAAAAGTTTCATGAAAATCAATATTTTTTTTTGTCAACAGTTAATTACAAGAAAACGGCTCGGTAGATTTTCACCTAAAACTAATTAGTATCATTCCCAACTAATATCTTTCAAACAGTTTTTGATTTTTTAAAATCGATTCGGTAGTTTGAGCTAAAATGTCGACGAAAAGTTTAACACTTTTTTCCAAATTACAAAGAAACGGCTTGGCAGATCGTCGCACAAAACTGACAAAAGATAGTCCTCATCGAGACATATCAAATGGCATTTAAATTTCTGAAATCGGTTCAGGCGTTTTTAGCAAACGTCGATGAAAGGTCTAATTTTGACAAATGCCAAAAAAACTATACTAATTTTTGCAAACTTTGAAGAATTTTTAAAATTAAACGACTTATCGTAGGGCTGTAATATTTTAGTATGATCTAGAAGACTATGGTATCTACCGTCAAAAAAAAAATCATAAAAATCGTAGAAATTTTTTTTTAAAAAACTTTATTACAAGAAAACGGCCCGGCCGATCTTTACCAAAAACTAATTAGGTCCATTCCCAACCAATATCTTTCCAATTTGAATTTTTAAAATTGATTCAAAATTGTGGGCTAAAACGTGGACGAAATTTTTTTCACTTTTCTGCTATTTACAAAGAAACGGCTAGGCTTATCGTCGCGCAAAACTAATAACCGCTAGTCCTCGCAAATACATCGAATGGCTTTTAAATTTTTGAAATCGGTCCAGCCGTTTTTGAGTTAACGTCGATTTACGGTAAAAAATCTGTTCACACACACACACACACACACACACACACACACACACACACACACATACCTTTTCCAAATTTGGTCTCATTCGATTCAGAATGGCTTGAAACGTCGAGAAAACATAAAATTAGCAAATCGGATTTTTGGATGAAAACATGAACTTCTCCTTCGGAAAGTTAAAAAGAGTGATAAATTTGGGTACAGTAAACCCTCTGTTGAGTGCGGAAAACACCGAAACAAGGTAAAACCATGATAGTATTTATGTAATAGTAACTTACTACATACCTTTACTTCCTAATAAAGATGATCCCTTCTTTGGCGATTCAGCAGGTGAAGCAGTGCTCGAAGACGAATTGTTTTTATCACATATCGTATTTGTAATTGGCAAAGTTGATAACAATCTCGTCAATTGAGTTTTATAAGCTGAATCTAAACGATTCGAACCTTCAACAGACGATTGGTCGACGACTAATTGGAAATAAGATACCTGCAACCATAAATACAAATAACAAATAATATTGTAGGCAAAATGAGTTTCAAAATGTTTATTATACTTTATACTTTACTCACAAAAGTATTTAATTCTTGTAGTGTGAACATCAACGATGACCTGTTTAGTCTAGGAATATCAGTCTTAAGTTCGTGTGTTTGACTCAAAACTTTACCTGAACCTTCGATTAGAGGTTCCAGGAGAGAAGAAACACAATTCTGGAAATTAAATTTAATGTAAGTTGCAAGCGATTATTTGTAATTAGGGGGCGTCCATTATAGTAAAATATCACGTGAATTTATTTTTTACCCGAATTTAGGAAAAAAAATCTAAACATTTTCAAAAAAACATAAATTTTACAATTTTTCTCGTAACTAAAAATACACATGATGTTTGGTGGAGAAGGAGAGGTAATTTTAAATATCACCAAGGGAAAAGGGGGTTCAAAAATCCTTAAAAAATCGATCACGTGATTAATGGACGCCTCCTTATATGGGCCAAATCTCTGATAAAGTAGAAATGTTATGGCAACCCTACGAGTTAAATTTTTAAGATACAGTTAAATTTTCGATATTCCCCTCTTTTTTATCATTTTTAGAGAAAATTTAGAGAAACTGAGGCAACTTATATAAATTGTGGAAAAATGGGAGAAATTTAAAGAAATATTCTAGAAAAGTTAGAGAAACTTTGTAAAATCATTATAGATTTTTCACATTTTCTATCATTTTTCGGGTAAATTCAAAGGACTTTAAAAAAACAATTACAAATTTTCTCTATTTTCCAATATTTTGGCAATAATTTTATTATTTTCTATAATTTTTGGGAAAATTTTAAGAAAAAATTATTGATTCCCATATTTCATTCATTTTTGGGGAAAATTTGGTAAACCTGAAATTTATTTTATTTAATTGAATTCCTATTTTTATTTTTGTGGACAAGTTTAGAAAATTATGATATGGTCCTATCTTTGTATGAATTTGTAGTAAAAACCGTCAAAAAGCTTACACATAAAACCTAACCCACAAAACGTGTGTTAAACCTACAAGAAAGAGTCATAAATGCATCTTTCTGATGTACCATTGATAGCACATATGTGAAGTTAGGCTTTATGTGCAAAACGCCTAATTGCCCAGAAAATACATAGCTTTTTATTAACTTCCCGTACGGTAAGAATTTTTATATATCTTACGTTTCAGAGGTTTCTGAACATTTCGGCATACCTTAGAAAAAATGGATGTATGTGTGCGGATACAAATTTTTGTCGACGAATTCGAGAACACGGTTCAACCGATTTGAATAATGACGTGCTGATTAGTTTTTGGCAAAGGCAGGTCTAGCCGTTTCAGAGATACGAGTCAAAAAGTGCCAAAAACGGAAACTCAGTTTTTAAGAGAACGGAGCGACCGATTTTAATAATTCAAAAAACATTTTACTTGTATTAACAAGATGAAGAACTGATTGAATTTTTGGAAAGGCAGGTCTAGCGGTATCGGAGATCTAGTAAAAAATGTGAAAAAAATGTCAATTGGCGGTCAAAAATGACCATTAGATATATGCGCATCAAATTATCAGATATTTTATAGAGATAAGACGTGCTGATTAGTTTTTGGCAAAGGCAGGTCTAGCCGTTTCAGAGATACGAGTCAAAAAAAGCCAAAAACGGGAACTCAGTTTTTAAGAGAACGGAGCGACCGATTTTAATAATTCAAAAAACATTTTACTTGTATTGACAAGATGAAGAACTGATTAAATTTTTGGGAAGGCAGGTCCAGCGGTATCGGAAATCTAGTGAAAAATGTGAAAAAAATGTCAATTGGCGGTCAAAAATGATCATTAGATATATGCGCATCAAATTATCAGATATTTTATAGAGATTTGAATAATAAGTATGAATTTTGTTTATATTTTTATGGATTCCGCAATATCGTTTGTCCGTTAGATGGCGATGCGACGCTCACGCGCTTTTTCATCTTCACGCAGCTAAAGCAGTACGCTTGCTTTGAAAAACAAGTTTAAAATTTCCAAAATATTTCAAAATAAAAAATCGCATTTTTTTCGAAAGTTTTTTTCCAAAAAGTTATTTTTTTTCAAAAATGGAAAATTTCTCAAAAATCAAATTTTTTCAAAGTTCAAAAAGTTCAAAACTTCCAAAATATTTCAAAATAAAAAAAACATTTTTACAAAGTCAATTTTTTCCAAAAATGTAAAATTTCAAAAATCTAATTTTTCAAAGTTTAAAAAGAAATTTAACTTTTTTTAAAACATTTAATTTTTTGGTACGAGAAGTTCCAGCAATTTGCTTTAAGGCACAATGCCATACGCCACTAGTATTTACTTCCAATTCATACAAAGATTCACCCGCAACATAGCATTACCATAACATTTTTATTTTATTAGAGAATCAATTTTCATTATCTATTTCAATTATCCTTTACCTTTTCGAAATGGCAATACAGCTCCCGATATTTAACTTCTCCATCATTTTTCCCCAATGCCAACATTTGTATAATCTGGCCGACTTGAACCAAATTGAATTGTTGAATTGCCGATACTGGTGCATCGACAATCGAGTACCTCTCTGGACAAACTATTGCTGGACATATCAGATGGGTAAAAATCAAATCGGTGCACATGGCATTTATCTGGAAATAGAATAAAAATAGAGATGAATTCTAAATTTAATTACCAACATATCGATGGTTTTCTGACGCAACCTCGTATCTCAGAAACTACTACTTTTCAGGAGAGACAAAAAACGTTTTATAACGAATTTTTGAACTGCTGTTAACAATTTATTTTATAAATTTTAAAAATCTTCAATCTTGTGACAATTATTTGAGACAAGTATGATATTACAAACAATTAATCATTATTAACTTCCCGTAGGGTAAGTTATAGTAATCGCAAAAAAATCGAAAATGAAAATTTTTATATATCTTTACGTTTCAGAGGTTTCTTAACATTTTGGCATACCTTAGAAAAAATGGATGTATGTATGTGTGTGTGTGTGTGTGTATGTGTGTGTGTGTGTATGTATGTATGTGTGTGTATGTATGTGCGGATACAAATTTTCGTCGACGATTTCGGGAACACGGATCAACCGATTTTAATAATTCAAAAAACATTCGATTCGTATTGATAAGGAGACGTGCTGATTAGTTTTTGGCGAAGGCAGGTCTAGCCGTTCCGAAGATACGGGGCAAAAAGTGCCGAAAACGGTAACTCAGTTTTTAAGAGAACGGAGCGTCCGATTTTAATAATTCAAAAAACATTTGACTTGTATTGACAGGATGAAGAATTGATCAAATTTTCATGAGGGCAGGTCTAGCGGTTTCGGAGATCTAACGAAAAAAGTAAAAAAATATGCCATTTGGCGGTCAAAAATGAACATTACACATATGCACATCAAATTGTCAGATATTTTATAGAGATTTTAACAATAAGTATAAATTTTGTTTGCATTCCTATGGGTTCCGTACCAATGTTTATTCGTTAGACGGCGACGCGGCGCTTACGCGCTTTGTCATTTTGTCTCTATGCAGTTAAAGCAGTACGATTGCTTTGAAAAAAATTGTCAAATTTTTTTTGAAAATAATTTTTTTTTCAAAAAAAAGTAATTTTTTGTCCAATTTATAGTTTCTCAAAAATCTTATTTTTTCGAAGTAAATTTTTTTAAAAAATGTCAATCGTTTTTAAAAAATTAATAATTTTTGGTACGGGAAGTTCCAGCAATTTGCCTTAAGGCACGATGCCTTAATTGCCTTAAGGGGGGCGATACATGTAATCGCCTTAATTTTTACCATTTTTTGAGGACTTTTTAAACTGGGAAGGAATGATTGAATCTTTTTGAACTTTTTTAGGGTTATTTATTATATATTAAAATACACAAAAAATTTTTTTTTTATTTTTTTCTTTTTAAATGGCTGCCGTAAAAATAAATCTGCCAAGACCCTCTCGGGAAACGCCATCAATTTGCGGGCGTTCTCACTTTTCGTACGGTGATCTGAATTTAAAAAAATTAGTTTGTACGTGTTCATAAAACATATATCTTCTAGTTAAACCAAAAAAAAATTAAAAAAGTCACAAAATCGTAAATTGGCACACCTTAGAAAAAAAAAGTTCGATTTTTCACCTTTTTTTCAATGGTTTTTTTGGTAAAAGGGTTAATTTTTGAAACATTTTTTGGAATGTTTGAGGTTTAACTAGAAGCTATTACTGTAAAGTAGATGTGTGCAAAATTTCATTGGAATCGGTTGAGAACTTTTTGAGTTATCACGCCCGCAAATTTCAAAAATGTCGTTTCGAGAAAAACGCGTTTAAAGTTTTGACACATAGAACAGATAAGAGTTGAGGCGTGGCACTTAAATAAGTTTTTATTGTATAAATAATGATAATTTTGTTTTGAATATTTACAGGCATATTTTTGAGATGTTATTGTAACGATTTATGAAAAAAAAAAAAATCGATTTTTTTTTTCTTGTTACATGTATCGCCCCCCTTAAGACAGAATTCCACTTACAGCTAGTTTCTAAAAGTATTACTACCTTTTCGTCTGCAAAATTCTGCTTCCTCAGCATTGCAACCATCTGATGAACCAACCGAGCAATACAATTCGGGAACAAAATCCAATGCTCCCTCAAAGATTTGATAAAATGATTGACAATCGTTACTAAAGTATCTATAGTCCATTTTCTGTGACCTTCTCTACCTAATTTCTTCAACATTTCATCATCGGGATTCCTGAACAACAACAAAAAAATGATCACATACTCTTAAATCAGCTACATGTTACTAATTTGCTGACCTTCCTAAAGCTAAATCTGGATCCATATCTAAGTAGATTTCTTCCTCCATCAACAATTGCATAACTGGTTCTTTCAGAGACGCCGAAAGAAATAATTTGGCAGAGAATAATACTTCGTGGAACATGAGGTACAATCTGGAGAAGGCGCACGAGCCATTTCTAAGCATCCTGAAAGAAAAAAATATTATATATATATATATATATATATATATATATATACATATATATATATATCTTATATATAAAAATGAATCGAATTTGACCAATTCTTTTTTTAAAATGTTTGTTGAAGTCCAAGAATTGTTCTTACGACGAGAAATCGAATAATTGCCGGAAAACCCCTAAAAACAGCCCTTTGCTTTTTCACAAACAAACGTTTTCTAACTAAAACATAGAATCAATTTGAGCTTTATTGCTATTATATAAAGTTCATGCACTCACTGTATACTCCTCCTAAACGATTATTCGGATTTTGATAAATCTTTCTGAAGTTTGTTAAAAAAAATTTCTAGGATGTATGTGATTATGAAGTACTGGGATGTATATGCAATATTGTAGAAATAAATGAAAAAAACGACATGTCATTGCATTGAAAATGAATGAAAACTATCATCTGCCAAAAATTTCAATTTACTCATGAACCTAGACAATATATATAATAAATTCATAATTATGAATAAGAAAAATGAAATGTCTACATTATTATTGCCAAAAAGCAGCTGAGATGTGCCAAAAATTAAAATAATATAATATACAGTATATGTATGGCAGATTGAATTATACACATATGAAAAAATATAACAAATTAATTCACTTAAAATATGAAATTAAGGGATATTAATTATGAGAAAAATACGAGCGCACGCCTTAGGGAGCGCCAACACAAGATTCGGATATTAAATTTTCAATATAGTTTTGATTTTCAATATATAATTTCTTTGCATCTTTTACTAATCTTTGCACAATATTTTTAAAATACGTTAATTATTTCACTTTAAAACAACAAATGGGAAAGTAAAAATGAATACATACAATTCAGTTCATACGATATCGATTAGAAGAAGTTTAAAATGCAATTTTGGATATTTTAAATAATGAAAAATTAAATTGAAATAATCCAACACGAAGTACCAGTGTTATGTTATGGTTATGTTTAATAATGCGAGGCTAGAATTTTTTTGCTCTCTATGATTTGCTCAATAGAATAAATCACATAAAATGCCCAAAATAAATAAGTAAAATGTTTCAAAAGCCAAATATTAATTAATGATAATAATTTTAATAATAAACTATTAAAAAAGATAAAATAATAGGGGCGCTGGGGACCCCAGGAGCGTCCCTGGTAAAAATGTATATTAAATTATTACTAACAAAAATGTAATTTAGATATTATATATAAATTACTAAAATCCAGTTAAAATATGATACAAAATTATAAAAAATATAGGGAACATTATTGGAGCAATTATTTTGAGTGAAAAAATCAAAAGTAATATTGTACTTTTACTGCCTATACTATATATTATATTAAATTTTTTCTGAATTTGTTATACCGTTTAAAACACTTCAATTTCCAATATAATGTTGGCATTGAGACTCATCATTTTATTTAAAGCAGTTCTACATTTAACATCACACATATTATAAATGTATATGCATTTTGGTGTGAAGAGTAATTTAAAGAACAATAATTATTATTTTTAGCTAAACGGTAAATATTAGTATGGGGTATTAATTGTAGTAATAAAAAATTGTAGACGTGGGTACAAGACAACGTCTGTTGTGTCATCTAGTATATATATATAATATCCTTTATCACTATCATTACCTTCTCGGATCCTCGCTCAGCATCAGCTGCATTTCCATAAGACATTTGAGCACTTGCAGGACATACTCGGTGTCTTCTGTAAGAAGACAGGTTCCATATAATCCTGTGACCAAGCTGCAGCATACTGATTGTACTAAATCAGGAGCAACCTGGTCTCCGGCTATCAGACAGGTTGCTATCAGCTCTGGATTGCATCTTAGAAAGTGAAGGAATTCTCCGTAGGATTGGACATCCTAAGAAAAAAATTAAAAATATTATTTGAAAAATATTTGTATTATAATACCAAATATAATGTTGTAAGTGGATTGAATGAAAAACTAGTAAAAAACGAACGTTTCATCAAGGAGATTTTACATATATTTTAATTCGCAGAATATTGTTTTTATTATTATGATGAAATTGCATGTGAAATTTCATTTTTTTAAGTTATATATATAAATAATTGATTGTTGTCGTTGATTTTATGTATGTAACAATGAACATAAGGATTCTATAGAATTTTTATAAAATTATAAAGACTTGACTATAAATTGTCAAGACTGTTTCAGAGTATCATGTTAATACAGACTTGGGTGTATACATATTATATATATACATATATATATATATATATATATATATATACATATATATATATACATATATATATATATATATATATATATATATATCATTATTATTATTATCATGTGTCTTGTATTACCTGGTATTTCAAGACCTTCTGTGCCTCCACAAACTTAGTCGAGGCCAAAGCATTAGCCTTCTGACAGCAATTAGCCGGACTATAACTGGATCTTGCAATTGTCAACTTATTCAAATTAATCCTCTGTTGACATTTAATCCAAGAACATTGATGAACCTGCACACAATCTTTAGCTACACATTCATTTAGATTCTGTATAGCCTGTTGCTCTGAGGTCACCAACAAACGTTCCTGCCTCAAATTATTGGCTAAGATCATCAAATCTTTCAGATCCATTGCTAGCGAGGATTTAGGGGCTAAATATCACAGTGGTAATAATAGACACATTTAAAATTCACTTATAATTATGTATTGCATGACATTTCCTAGAACGCTACGGATTTTTGGAGGTGTTAAATTATGATTCATAGGTATGTTAATAAAGGCGTGACGAATGCTGGTAGAAAGTTTGAAAAGTAATGTGTTTATTGCATTTTTAACGTTCGCGAGTTTTATTACGTTTAATTAAATTTATTGTACATTTTCTAAATAACGAAGCAACAGCAAACGTCAGAATTTAGACAGCACATAAAAACACTTCACACGCCAACTTCACACTTAACACCAGTTGACAGTTTCAAATGATCACGATATTAAAAATAACTTGAATTTTTTGAAATTAAGATCAAATAAATAAATTTTAACGCAAAAAGTGTTATTAAAAATAAATATATAATAATTTGGTTTGTTAGTCTTTTAAATGAAGTGGTCTTTTATATTCACATGCCAACTTCACACTGAACTTGCACAAGCTGACAGTTTTAAGTGACGACGAGTTTTTATTATTATTTAAAAATAACTTGAATTTTTAAAATTGAAATCAAATAAATTAATTTTAACACAAAAAGTATTAATAAAAAATAAATATATAATAATTTTGTACGTTAATCTTTTATATAATATGTGTCTTTTACCAACTTCACACTGAACCTGCACAAGTTGACAGTTTTAAGTGACGACGAGTTTTTATTATTATTTAAAAATAACTTGAATTTTTTTAAAATTTAGGTCAAATAAATAAATTTGTTTGCAAATCGTATTCACGAAAAGTGTTAAAAATAAATATGTAATGTTCTTCAATGTCTTTTATGTAATTGCGTTGACTAACATTTTTAAATGTGACAATGTCGAAATCTGTTTACACACGAACGTATTTGTTTTGATTTACAAATTCTGCAAAGATTATAAAAATATATAAACATCACGTTTATAAATTGATAGTAGTATTATTTGAAGCATTTTATCTTGTAATAATTACTCACAATCGGTATGTATATATATGCGGAAGTAATAACATTCACAAACTTGGCTGTGCAAATTTGGTAAATATGTTATGGATTATATTGTTTTTATTATTAATATAATTTATAGATTAAAATATTTGTTTTACAATTTGCGAATATATTATTACACATTACATATTTTATTGTATTAAACTGCGTTGTTTTTAAAAAAATTATATTTCGAAAAAAAAAATTGAGCAAAAAAATTGAAACAAAGAATTTTTTTTCCAAAAGCCATTATTTAGTTAAAAGTAGCAGAAAGTTCTTTGAGCCATTCAAATCGGACGCTTAGTTCTCTCAAAAACTGCCATTTTTTGCACATTTAGCTCTGTAGTTTTGAAACGGCTGAACCTGCCTTTGCCAAAAACTAATCACCACTTCTCCTAATCATTACAAATTGAATGCTTTTTGGATCATCCAAATTGGATGCTTCGTTCTCGCAAAAACTCGATTTCTATTTTCTGCACTCTTTGCTGCTCCGTATCTCCGAAACGACTGGACCTGTCTTTGCCAAAAACTAATCAGCACATCTCCCTATCAATAGGAATCGAATGCTTTTTGAATCATTCAAATCGGTTGCGCCCGAAAACGTGAACGAATAATTGTATCCACACACACACACCACACATGCAATTTTTTGAGGTACGCCAGTAAAAGGTTCAGAAACATTTGAAACATGAAGATATGTAAAAATTTTCAATATCGATTTTTGGACGATTAAATTAACTTACACTACGGGAAGTTAATACATCTTATTTAAAGATGGTGAAATAATGAAAATGAAAAAAAGTTTGATTAAAAATACAGTAAGTAATACAAATATTAAAAATTTAGAATCTTACTTTAAAATATATCTCCCAGGTCATCGTTCACTCCTTCTCATAAAATTCAATGTAAATTCTGAATGAATCTAAAAAAGAATTGATTATTATTAATAACTCTTTATGTCGTCTATAGACGGCATCCGCCTGTCGATCTGTGTGTACGAGTGTTGCATATAGACGACATATCTAAAGAATTAATTTTTGCTTCAAGATTTAACACTTCGAGTTATATTGTTTATAATTCTCAATTAGTTCTTTAGAAATATAATTTTTCAAATTTTAAATGCATTTGTGTATTTAAATGCATTTTTATCGATAATGATTGGAGAATCTTAATCTTATTTCTAGAATTGTGTGGAACAAATACTTCGGTAGCTTGCTGGCTTGTACAGCAGTGTCATTCCTACGGTGAACTATCTTGTAAGCAAAAAGGTTAATATTTATCTATATATTTTTGCTCCACACAAATGGCTAATTTCTAGTATTTTTGCATATAAATTTCTATTTTTTTTATGTTTAAAATAAAAACAATTTAGTAGAAATAACCATATTACAATTGTATTTATATAAATATGTTAAAATAAAAAATTAATACAATTGTCAAAAAAATATATGAAATACATTCGGCAGTGATGACCAACTAATATCTCGAGCAATATTTTCCTGAGAGATTATTTCATACAATCTCCTATAAATTATGAAAAATTTTCGTATTAAACTAATAATTAATTAATAATAAACAATAAAATACCTATAAATATTAGATACTTAAAGCAAGGTTCTTTTTATTCTTAATTATCTAGCATAATAATATCATCATCACTTTCATTTTGCTCTGTGACTTCACTCTTGCGTCTTTTGCTGTTGTTCAAGTCATCGAAAGTGGCTCGTTTCCTTGCATTCGGGGATTGTGTGGAATCAGGTGCTGCATCAGATTCTTCGATGATACAAACATCATCTTCATCGTCATCCTGGGGGTTGTTGGATGATGAAGGACCAGAGGAAGCTGAAGGAAAAAAATTATAATATAAATACAATATTATATATGTATATATATATATATATATATATATACACCTAAGTCTGTTTTTACACGGAGATTGGTTCCAGAAGAAGCCGTGTAAAAAAAAAAACGTGTAAAAAAAGACATTGATCTTATACAAAAATGGGTGATGTGTTCCTAATGTCTAAAACCTATTAAAATTGGTGAAAAACAAGAATTTTTAAGAACAAGAATTCATGTTTATTTTATTAAATCAAAAATATAATGCTTATTTTCACAAGCATAGTAATTAATGATAAAAAAGATATGCACTCTAATCTTAAAAGTAATATAAATTAAATGTATGGCAAGTTCAGGAACTAAAAAACTATGTTGTGAACGAAAAGAATAGGTTATTCAATTTTTAAGGTAAAAAATAATTTTATTGTATGCACATAAAGGAAATTTCCCTAAATTAGTGCTATTCACATTTGCTTTGACCAGTAAAAATTGTTTGTACGCGCTAAAAGGGAATTCACTTAAATCTTTAAGCTAGTGTTCGCAAACTATCGATACTATCGATGGTTTCAGACTTTTTTCTTTCATAAAAACTTTTTTGTGATATGAACATACTTCGCAAAAATTAAATTTGACAAAAAAATTAAGTACATTAAATTTTAAATCGTGCTAAATGGAATAAAATCGTGTAAAAAAATTAAAAATATTCAATTTTCAAACCGTGTTATATCAAAACCGTGTACAAAAAGACCGTGTAAAACCAGACTTAGGTGTATATATATGTATATATATATATATATATATACACATAATAATTTATAATGTATTTTATCTTACTGGACGGTTCATCTCCATTCCCATTGTTTGCCGGAGCAGCACTTTCTTTCGGTTTTAAAACAGAAGGATCTGATAATACTTGAAATTCAGGTTCGTCCTTCTTTGGTTCATATTGGTGTATCGTTATACTTAATTCATAATTTTGCAGGAAGTCATCGACCTGAAAAATAAAAAAAAAAGAGTGCGCGTAAGGATCACACGCGATTGAAGTAAAACTTATTTGCTACTGTATAAAGTAGCAAATTTAAGTTGAGTAAAAATAATTACATCATTTAAAAATTTTGAATAATGTTTATTAGTAATATGGTAACACTCGTGATGCACACATTTATTAGTGTCGTCAATCATTATACACATTTATATAATGATAAATTATAAATTATATATTTATGATTACATTAAAAATATGTATAATATTTACAAACAATAATGTAATCAAAGTCGTACTTGAAATATGACATGATCGTTTTAAAGTAATTGCTGATTAATAAATTCTATAATATTCATTCACACAATGGATTATGTTAAACAACGCCTAAACAAATATTGTTTTTGCAAATTTACTCATCCTGTAACAATTGTGTTTGTAGAACTTCATGTAATTAAAATTAACATACATTCATTTACTGTTTGTATTTTTTTACTTTTTCGCTGACGATATAATCTCATTCCTTGAACAGCTGTAATATCCGTCTTGCCTATCAAATTGAAGCCATACTTTTATATTTGTTTTATTTATCAAGCCCTGCACATAGCTTGGTCTATGAATCATTTGCTTTTTTATATGAACGTTAATGCAATGATCATCGTCAATATTACGAGGTAATAAATTAACTATATTATTAATGTCAACAGGCACATTTATAATTTGGCCAAACATTCCAAATTGTCCATTTGCATGTCGCACTCGTCTAATTTGCATGAAACACAACCTAGGTGGAATTAATCTTTCAGATACAGTATCTAGTTTAGGTAGATAATTTGGTATAGGTGGAAATACAAACCCGTTAAATTTACACAAAGTAGGAATTTTACCCGAATTTAATATCTTTCGACAAGTTTGACATCCAACCTGATTATTTAAATCAATATTCAAAAAACATCATTAAGAATTTGTTTTTGAGCATCATTTGATATTTTTAAGTCACTTTGAAGCCAAAGTCGATCACATACGAAACATAAATACATTGTCAAAGCTATCATTTCTTACGCAGCGCAGATTTTTCCTTTGTTTCATAATTTATTTGCGATCATTTGCACTACAATTAATTATTTATGGGGGACGGGATAAAATATTCTTCCGATCCTGACATTTTTATTAACTCACGAATTATACTGCTAACCCATGTCGCGTCTAAAGAAGTTTTACTTCAAAAAATGTTTAGAGACTACGAGCTAAATACAAAACTCAAGTGAAAGTCGACACATTTTGTTTTGTTTTTGACATATGATTTGACATTTGATGTATTTTTTGTTTTGCTCGCAGACTAGATCGAATAATTGCAATAGCTGCGCTTGCGAGTCAAAAGACCGTTTTTGATTTTTCGATTAGTATTTTTTATATCAAACGTAATTGAATCGTCATCAAACTTCATGACTTTTCCTAATATATGAGTATGATACGTATTTTATTGTTAATTTGTTTTTTCAATTTTTATTTTTGGAAAAAAAATTGTATACTGTCTTACCTACCGCAACCGGTCATTTGACCGATAGTACGAAAAACGATGTTCGGACGGCATTTGTTGTAGTAATTGTTAAGAATATGATCGAACTTATAAGAAAATGTAAATTTAGAAGAATTTCTGCCTTCTGCAAATTTATATGCCTTTTTTTTCAATTCTGTATGCACGCTGCGCATATGAGGCAAGGCGTATAAATATTGCACTTCTACGGTATAAAAAGGTTTTTTTTTTTTCATTTTTGCTCAATGCCTATGTGTAGACAGATTTTTACGAAGCAATCCAAACAACAAATTGATAGGTTTTGTTTTGAATCCAAAGATTGGTTCAACTACATTGACAGCAATCAAAATTGTTGTAAAAGATCACGTATTACTATCGGCAAACATATATTTTCAATAAAGGTAAGGTGTAAAATTATTCAACACATGTTCAATAATATTCAGAAAAACATAGTACAAAATTTTAGTAACTTTTCAATATATGATGTAAATTTAATTATGCCCAGCAAATCGCACAAATGGGGTATAAAATTTTGATAACCATCCAGTATACGTAGAAAACTGAGAATTTCTTTGAAGATTTATAACCAATGAAACCGTATTATCAAAATCGCTAGTACGATGTAAAAATTTCAAACGTTTTTACCATCCTACTTATAGCTAAACTTTTAGTAAAGAAAAACTGTGATGGTAGGTACAATTGAAGCAATATAACAGCTACAAATACTGGTAGAACTAAAAATCAAGGACTCAAATAATATTTACAGTTTTGGAAGCTAAGAAAGAAGATTTTAATTTTCACTTACATACGCATATGTTGAAAAAATTACACTAATACGGGAGTCAATTCAATTGGTATTCGCGTCGTGTTTGGTGTAGATGTCATTCATAAAGTAGTCAGAAATCATTCGGTAAAATATGAATTTTAGAGAGAATTTATCAAGAATTTACATTATTTTGTATTTATTCAGGATAAATCCATTGTTTTCACATCAAAAAATTACAAAAAGATGATGTACAAGGCAGGAATTTTCTATTCCAATTAACTTGCCGTATAGTTCCAACAAGAATTCAGAAAAAAAACTAAGTAAAAGTACAAAACAGATTTCCTAAAAGAAAATATTTCAGATCATATTTTAGAAGGATGATAGAGCGAACAAAATGGGCTAAAAACGTAAAAAATGCGTGTGCAGAAAATACACTCTAAGACAACAATTGTAAAAAATTGGATAAAACAGATTAAAAAATATATTTTGCATTCTAAAATAAAAAAAATATTTTGTATTTGTATTTATAAACTCTTAAACTAGCATTAACTTTTCATTCAATACTGAAAAATATAGATTTTGTATGGCCGGTCATTTGACCGGTCGCGGTAGGAATAGTAAACATAAAATGTCGGTAGGAATAGTGTTAATAGCGTCGTAAGCGCGAATCATGCAAGCGATTACTTTACACCCATATCGCGCCTAAAGAAGTTTTACTTCAAAAATATTCATATCACGAGACAGGAGAGAATCTAATTATCTTACTTGTAACATGCTTCCATCAACAATTCCCAATTCTGCCAATTTCTTATCATTGTTGCACTCAGTCTCCCCTTCTTCGGAAGATATGATAACCAACTGTTTAGATTGGCAAATGACATCAGGTGCAATCATGTTCAACGACTTCTTCAAAACGTTTTCTTCCAATTCTTTAACAGTCATCTTGTTCACATCGAGCATTAGATTTACTTCAGGCTTTGGACTACAAACGTAGCATTTAGGGTTTGGAGGATTGAGAACTGGATAAAAGACACAAGATTAGTATAATAGAAATGGTAAAAGGATAATTTTTTTGTGACTTACATTTCTCCGGTACCAGTATTTGCTTTTGTGGATTCTCTGTAAGACGTACATACACAGTGGAGCACTCTTTGATTTTGTCTTGCAGGATTTTAAAAGCGTGCATAACGGCAATTCCAGCAACGATTGCATTTGTAGTGGCAATCGCGGGAATTATATTACCAGCCATAGCTGAAAGATAACACCAATTATTTATTAACTTCCCGTAGGGTAAGTTACAGTAATCGCAAAAAAATCGAAAATGAAATTTTTTATATATCTTTACGTTTCAGAGGTTTCTTAACATTTTGGCATACCTTGGAAAAAAATGGATGTATGTGTGTGCATGTGTGCGGATACAAATTTTCGTCGACATGGATCAACCGATTTGATTAATTCAAAAAACATTCGATTACTATTGATAAGGAGGCGTACTGATTAGTTTTTGGCAAAGGCAAAGGCCGTTTCGGAGATACGGGGCAAAAAGTATCAAAAATAGTATTTCAGTTTTTCAGAAAACGGAGCGCCCGCTTTAAATAATTCAAAAATCATTTTACTTGTATTGACAAAATGAACTGGTACAATTTTTGTAAAGGCAGGTCCAGCGTCTCCGGAGATCCAATAAAAATTAAAGAATGATGCCATTTGGCGGTCAAAAATGAACATTAGACATATGTACATCATATCATCAGATATTTTATAAAGATTAATAATAAGTACAATTTTGTGTATATTTATATGGGTTCTGTACCAATGTTTACACGTTAGACGACTACGCGGCGCTTACGCGCTTTCATATTTACGGTACGGGAAGTACCAGCAATTCCAGTAATAGTAATAGTAAACAGGGTGTCCCAGAACTCAATTTAAAATAAAATTATTGCACTCATTTTGAAAATTATATGTATTTAAGTATTACCAAGTGTTTTGGGCATTTTTCAGTTATTTTGAAGTAAAACTTCCTTAGGCGCGACTAGGGAGTAATTCTATGATATGAAACTGACAATAGGACGGAAGTTGGTTACGTCTGACTGAATTCTGATTCGTCATTGGTCGATGACGTCATTCGGATAGAGTTGACGCTATTATTGATGTTATGAAGTGCATAAAAATGTTTCAAATAGTCTAGAAATGTTGCGAATCGTCCAAATATATTATAAATCAGAAATATTGAAGATTGCCAAAAAATGCTGTATACTGCCAAAAAATATTATAAACTGTCCAGAAATTTTATATAGCGCTTAAAAATGTTGCAAAACGTCCAAAAATGTAAGAATTTGTCCAAAAATATTATAAACCGCCTAAAAATGTTATGAACCGCCTAAAAATGTTATAAGACGTCCAATAAAATGATAAAACGTCCAAAAATGTAAGAAACTATCCAGAAATATTATAAATCGCTTAAAAATGTTGCAAATCGTCAAAAAATACTATAAACCGTCCAGAAATGTTGTAGGCCGCCTAAAAATGCTGTATATTGTCCAAAAATGTTATAAACTATCCAAAATGTAAGGGACTGCCTAAAAATGTTGTAAATTGTCCAGAAATGTAATAAACCGGCCAAAAATGTAAGAAACAGCCTAAAAATATTGTAAATCGTCCTGGAATGTTGTAAACTGTCCAGAAATATTCCAAACCGCCTAAAATGTTATAAAACGTCCAGAAATGTTGCAAACCGGTCAAAAATGTAAGAAAACTGCCTAAAAAGGTTATAAATCGTCCAGGAATGTTGTAAACCGGCTAAAAATATAAGAAACTGCCTAAAAATCTTGTAAACCGTCCAGGAATATTATAAACTAGCCAAAAATGTAAGGAACTGCCTAAAAATGTTGTAAATTGTCCAGAAATGTAATAAACCGGCCAAAAATATAAGAAACAGCCTAAAAATATTGTAAACCGTCCAGGAATGTTGTAAACTGTCCAGAAATATTCCAAACCGCCTAAAATGTTAAACGTCCAGAAATGTTGCAAACCGGTCAAAAATGTAAGAAAACTGCCTAAAAAGGTTATAAATCGTCCAGGAATGTTGTAAACCGGCTAAAAATATAAGAAACTGCCTAAAAATCTTGTAAACCGTCCAGGAATATTATAAACTAGCCAAAAATGTAAGGAACTGCCTAAAAATGTTGTAAATTGTCCAGATATGTAATAAACCGGCCAAAAATGTAAGAAACAGCCTAAAAATGTTGTAAATCGTCCTGGAATGTTGTAAACTGTCCAGAAATATTCTAAACCGCCTAAAATGTTATAAAACGTCCAGAAATGTTGTAAAACGGCCAAAAATGTAAGAAACTGCCTAAAAATGTTGTAAATCGTCCAAAAATGTTGCAAACCGGCCAGAAATGTTGTAGACTGCATAAAAATGCTATATACTGTCCAAAACTGTTATAAACTGTCCAGAAATATTATAAATCGTTTAAAAATGTTACAAACCGTCCAGAAATATTGCAAACCGTTCAAAAATATTATAAACCGCCTAAAAATGTTATAAGACGCCAAAAAATGTTGTGAACCGGTAACAAATGTAAAATACTGCTTAAAAATGTTGTAAATCGTCCAGAAATGTTGCAAACCGGTAAAAAATGTAGGGAACTGCCTAAAACTGTTGTAAAATGTCCAGAATGTAGTAAACCGGCCAAAAATGTAAGAAACTACCTACAAATGTTTGAAATTGTCCAAAAATGTAGTAAATCGGCCAAGAATGTAAGAAACTGCCTAAAAATGTTGTAAATCATCCAGAAATCTTGTAAACCTGCCAAAAATGTAAGATAATGCCTAAAAATGTTGTAAATTGTCCAGAAATGTTGTAGATTGTCCAAGAATGTAGTAAACCGGCCAAAAATGTAAGAAACTGCCTAAAAATGTTGTAAATCATCCAGAAAACTTGTAAACCTGCCAAAAATGTAAGATAATGCCTAAAAATGTTGTAAATTGTCCAGAAATGTTGTAGATTGTCCAAACATGTAGTAAACCGGCCAAAAATGTAAGAAACTGCCTAAAAATGTTGTAAATTGTCCAGAAATGCAGTAAACCGGCCAAAAATGTAAGAAACTGCCTAAAAATGTTGTAAATCGTCCAGGAATGTTGTAAACCGGCCAAAAATGTAGGAAACTACCTAAAAAAATGTTGTGAACTATCCAGAAATATTATAACTCCGTCTAAAAATATTATTAATCGCTTAAGAATGTTATGAAAAGTCCAAAAATGTTGTACACCGTCTAAAAATGTAAGAAACTGCCTAAAAATATTGTTGGAAGAATTTAAAACAGATGGCGGAAGAATTTACTTAATGACATATATTAATAATAAATACACGAAACTTTTAATTGAATTACGGACTATCTACATATTAATATTAAAAGCTGAAACTTTTAGAGATTTTTTTTTATTAATTTGAAACCATTTGAGTACCTAGGAGGAAAAAAATGAAAATGTCCATATTAAGGACCACCTTAGTAGGCAGGTATAAAAGTAGACAGGTAAACAGGAGGCCAAGTAGATTATAAATGGAACAAATTATTTGTCGATTATTTACACATATCGCTAATTTTATGACAAAATGCCCCTAATAATTTTTAACAAAAAAAATCTATTTCTATTGCTTTTTTTATCCAACTTACATTTTACTTCAAATCTCGATTTCTGTTCAATACCAAAACAGTAAGACCGAATATTGGCACAGGCAGCAACAAAGTCCATGGCAGCCTGATCGTCTTTATCCCAAACGAGAGTGGTCTTCTTTTCTTCCAACTGTTTGAACAAACTCATGACGCTCATTTTGAAAACACAACACCATTCTGCTAGGGAAAGATTTCTTTGTTCACGGGTTACTGCGTCGTCTTTCATCTCTGAATCTGAAAGAGATAGATATAATATATACACTACAATAAAAATAAGTTTTAAAATAAATAAAAATTGTAATGTATATATATCTTCTTATATATAAAAATGGAGCTCTCGATAACATGAGATCCGCTAAAACTCGAAAACGGCTGAGCCGATTTGGCCAGTTTTTGTCTTGAAAAGTTCGTGCTAATCAGTAGGTTGTGGGAAAGGTGAGATATTATTTCAAAATCGCGTAAAAACTTTACACTTTTAATTTGAACATTTTTGTAGAAGCGTTATTGGAATAAAACAATGGACGGTGGGCTAATACGTCAAATGTATTAAATATTACTAAATGATGTTTGATGTTTTACGTAAATATTATTTAATTATGATTAAATTGTAGTAAGTACTTTTGTTCATAGTTATATTTATACACAAAAACGTTATTAAACTGGCCGCAAGTGTTACTAGAAACTCAAAATATCAACTTTTTTGAAATGTTAATATGAAAATGCACTTTTTGGCATATTTTTCTCAAACACGGTGCTCTGAAAGATCTCATTTGTATAATTATATATTCAGTGGTATTTATAAAACATTTTCCTGATTATATTATTTTTTGTTTATGTTATTTAAATTCAGAACCTAAATTTGGTATCGATCAAAGGGATATTTTGCCGAATGACATTTTTCTTCAGTTATAATTTCCCAGAATTTATCAAAAAATAGATAGTAATATATGAAGGTCCGGGGTTAAAAAGGTCCACCACCGATGTGTGAAAAAACAGTAAAGTTAAGCATTGTTTAACAACAATATTTGAAAGTAGAGGGAAAAAGATGTATAAACAGCTATAACCTCGATTCTTATGACTTTGCTATCGGGAGATAAACGGTAATCTTTGAAAATCCATAATAAAAGTATTTTCTTCCATTGGTAGTTTTTTTAGCATTAGTTAAAAGTGTAATTATTTGTAAAATACCTTTAAAATTAAAATAAGACTTTGAACCTGTTTGCCACCTGGCCGTTTCAAGTTACCCCGCCTATAGGGTAAAAAGGTCTAGATAACAAATTTTTGAAAGATATCAAAAAAGTACATTTCTACAATGACAAAGTAGCTGGCAGTTTTACTGAACGTAGTCAGATAATCGTTCGTTTGAAATGTGTTATTTGTTGTAATATAATTGGTTTGATTTTTATAATATAATTAATATTTCTCAAAGTCAAATTGGACCTTTGTGCCCCCGCCCTGCCTTACATATATATACTTTTTATTAAATTTACTTTTATTCATCGAATGTTACTTGAAACTTTTCAAAAAGCAGATTAAAGAAGAAATACTTAATTCATTTTCTATCTCTCCTCGCAGAAATTTGAAAATTTTGTTTAAGCTCAGTAGTATTATTTACAATTATACACAAAATGCAGAATCCAAAAAGAATCTGAAAAACTTGAAACGTAATCAATAATTCGGAGGACCAAAAAAGACTTGAATTGGATTATACCATGTTTTCTATAGAATGTGTATAAAACTTCCAGTTTGATTGTATTGACAAAATATAGACAAACTGATGGGGTTTATTGTTTTTATAATACCTCATTGTATATATCATTCAAACAACACATCCTTATGCACTTAAAGTATTAATATTTTTGATTCTCTAGAAATTGTTTAGTATATACCTTACTTAGCAAAACAACGTTTTCCGGGTCAGCTAGTATATATATATATATATATATATATATATATATATATATATATATATATATACATTTATATATTTATCTATTTATTTACCCATGGGTTCGGTCCACATCTGTGGCACAGGTGGGCGTCTCTCCTTCCACAGATTCTTCATACTCAATAAATACTCGATATCATCATGAAAGAATTTAGTAAACAGCTTTTGACTTTCGTAGTTGCAAGACTCAGCCCACTGCCTTGTGCTTACACGATCAATGTTACCCTGAAAAATAATTGTTGTTTGTAAAAAGCAACATAATTTAGATTTTTAATTTGTGACACAATAATCTCTTCACCAACCTTTTCTGAAAATTCATCAGCAAGTGCTTTTTCGCTAGCGTCTCCTGCTGCTTCAGGATCGGCAGTGTCTGGTGAGACTTCTTCATCGTCATCGGTTTCGCCAAATAGTTGACTGAAAATGAAATAAAATAGAACGAAATTATTTAAATTAATTATAATTTTTAATATCATAAGATTTTGCAAATAAATTTAGTTTCTTGTATAATTTAATTTATATTAGAAAAATGCAATACTCTTTTAATTTAATTTAAATAGATAAAAAACTAAGCTGAAAAGTGGGAATAATATTTTTTCACGTTGTAAATTATCCACGAATGTTGTAAATTGTCTGAATATTATGTAAGCAGTCTAAAAATGTGGCAGTCCAAATATGCTGTAGATGATTTATCTAAAATCTAAAATTCTAAAAGCAAGGTTGTAAATTATCTAAAAAGGTTATAAAATATCTAAAAATATTGAGGACGATCTAATGATAATGTTAAAGACGATCTAAAAATGTTGCAGAAGATCCAGAAATGTTGCGGAAGGTCCAGAAATGTTGCAGACCGTCTAGAAAAGTTGCAAAAGGTCCAGAAATGTTGCAAAAGGGCCAGAAATGTTGCAAAAGGGCCAGAAATGTTGCAAAAGGGCCAGAAATGTTGCAAAAGGGCCAGAAATGTTGCAGACCGTCCAGAGAACGCATCCAAAAATATTATAAATCTAAAAATATTGCAAAATAGTCCAGAAATGTTTGCAAATCCTTTAAAAATAATGGAAATCATTTAAACATGTTCCAAATCGCCAAACAATGTTGCAAACGGCCTAAAAATGTTGTGGACTGTTCAAAAATGTTGCAAATTCTCCAGAAATGTTGCAGAATGTCCAGAAATGCTGTAGAAGGTCCAAAAATGTTGCACTGTTGGAAAATGTTATAATACATCCAAAAATATTATAAATAAAAAATGAGAAATGTTTGCAAATCGTTTAAAAATGTTCCAAATCGCCTTAAAATGTTCCAAACGACATAAAAATGTTCCAAATCGCCTTAAAATGTTGCAAACGACGAAAAAATGTTCCAAATCGCCTTAAACTGTAGCAAACGACCATAATGTTCCAAATCGCCTAAAAATGTTTCAAATCACAAAAATGTTGCAAACGGCCTAAAAATGTTGCAAACCGTTTAAAAATGTTGTAAACCATCCAGAAATGTTTGCAAATCGTTTAAAAATGTTGTGGTCTGTTCCAAAATGTTGTAAACCATCCAGAAATGTTGCAAATTGTTAAAAAATGTCGTAGACTATTCAAAAATGTTGTAAACCGTCCAGAAATGTTGTAAAATGCCTAAAAATGTTGTGGGCTGTCCAAAAAAGTTGCAAACGGTTCAAAAAAGTACAGAAATGTTGCAAACCGTCCAGAAATGTTGCAAACCGTCCAGAAATGTTGCAAACCATCCAGAAATGTTAGAAACTGTCCAAAAATATTATGAACCGCCTTAGTTTGTTATAAATAGTTTAGAAATGTTGCAAACTGTTTGAAAATATTGTGAACTGTCCAAAAATATCACAAGGTTCCTAAAAATATTGTAAGCCGTCCGTAAATGTTGCAAACAGTCCAAAAATATTATAAACTGCTGAAAAACATTGCAAACCGTCCATAAATGTTGCAAACCATTCACAAATGTTATGGACTGCCTGAAAATGTTGTGGACTCCCAAAAAAATGTTGCAAACGGTCCAAAAATGTTGTGAACCCCCCAGAAATATTATAAACTATCAAAAAATATTGTAAACCACCCAGAAATGTTAGGAACTGTTCAGAAATATTATGAACCTCCTACAAATGTTGTAAACGGTCTAGAAAAGCTGTAAACGGTCCAAAAATGTTATAAAATGTTATGAAAATATTGTGAACTGTTCAAAAATGTTATAAAACCCCTAAAAATGTTACTACTGTCTGAAAATGTTGTAAACTATCCAAAAATGTATTAGAAGAGTTAATAATCATGATTGTTAACTTACAATTTAAATTTTTACTCACTTGAATAAATGTTTGGCCCAAACAATACAATGAATCGGTTCTGAAGGTGTATTTCTAATTGTGCAGCCTGGAAATGATTTTTGAGTCGCTTTCGGCAAGCATTCATAACATTGTGATAAGCCTTTCTTGATCATCTCAACCTTGAAATAAAAGTGAACATGATAATAAATATAAATATAACTAATTTAAATTAAGCTTAAATAATTTTATCTAGCTCATTGAGTTTGTGTGAATAAAAAACATTCAAATTGATTTTGAGTAAAATGAGATAGTAAAACTTGCTTAATTGCTTTTTAAGGACTTTACTTCGATCTAGTCTTATTTAAATTAGTAAAGAACGCTCTTTAAAAGTCAATGAATTTTGAAAATTTCAAGTTCATAGTTCAAAAAAAAAGTCTTAATTCTTAAAAACTTGGGGCAATTGGGTCATTATAATTAAATGTGGTCCTAGAAATGTTATTTATGGTTATGGTTACAATAATCAAAATTTGGTTGTTCTTAGGAGCTCATAATTTTCAAAGCGCATGAGTTTTTTTTATTATAGTTAATAATAATAGCAAATATACTTTTTAGTTACCTGTCCAGAATAACCAGCAGTACCGCTCTCGATCAAAGGCAGATCAGCAGCTAAACATAATCTGTTTACATGATTTCTTGCGGCCTTGTTGTCCAAAGCATTCATAATTAGAGTGAAGCGTTTGAAGAAGTTGACACCATATTCAGAACTGTAAATATAGAAAGTAATCACAAATTAGATTTAAACATTCTATAGCATAAATTACTCTTAAAATAAACTATTGATTATTAGAATTAATTTTGTTATAACATGTCTTAATGAAGTTATTAAAAAACTAATGGAATTTACAATTAAAGCTTAATTTTACAAAATTAGTCTTTTGAAAACAATTAAGTGACTAAAACACAAAGAGATTAACTCAAAGATATTTCGATACATCCAAAAAGCATTTGCTATCGAAGTCATTGTATCGATGAGTCATACATAAACACATACCATACATATCAAAATATATTTTATATTTTACCTAGTAATACTGTCGTGGTAAGCTTTAATATTAACATTAGGATTAAACTTGAGAGCACTCTCTTTCGCAACTTCAGCCTTGGATTTCCCAACATGTTCTTTATGAAACAAGAACTGTCTGTTCAAATTACTGACATCAATTGTATCCAAATCAATCTAAAAACACAACAAAACATTAAAACAATCATACTAATAATATATTTCATTTCTCCCTTACTATTTCGATGTCCTTAAATCCAGAAAGAACCAAATTCTTCAAAATTTCGCAGCCGATCCCGCCGGCTCCTACCAAGAAGATTTTTGAATTTAAAATAGAAATTCTGAAGGTTTTCTTCAAAGATGCCTTTAATGCTAGCAGCCATGGTAGTAAGTAGATTTAGTTTTAGTTGTTATTTTTCACAGATATGTTAAAATATCATAATTTTTATAACAGTAACCTAAAATTTATGACTAATTTTAACAAACATCAAAACAAGAACTTGTTGTGAGCATAGAGGGCGAAGTCGTGTGTATAGATAGGAGACTCTTTGAGGAAATTGCGGATTGTGTGTCTATGGAATGTCGAAACTGTTAATTTGAAAATAAAATAAAATAAATAAATATATATACATACATAAATATATATATATATATATATATATATATATATATATATAAGCATTTAGGTCGTTTATTACAAGTTGAGGAAATTTGTCTGAACCAAATAAGTAAACTTTAAAAATTAGAAATCTTTGTTTTTGTTCTTGCGAAAGGCAGGTTTAGTCATTTTGGAGGTACAGAAGGCAAAATATAGTTTTTGACAGTAATAATAACCCGATTAGAATGATTAAAAAAATATTTTTTTTAAGATAATTTAATTTTTTTTTTAAATTTCAAATAACCTCGAAATTTTCTAAATTATTATTTTTTTAAATATGCAAATATATTTCAAGAAAAAAATTCCAGCAATTTGCCTTTAGGCACAATATCATGCACAACTAATTAACATTTTTTTGGATCTCCAAAATCGCTAGACCTGCCTTCCAAAAATTGGTCAATTTTAAATGTTTTTTGAAATATTCGGAAATCAAATCAAAAATTGAATTGCCATTTTTTCACTTTTTAATTCTTATCTCTTAAAAGGTAGAAACTGCCTTTGCCAAAAACTAATTAGGACGTCTTCTTATCAAGAGGGGTCAAATGTTTTTTGAATCATTCAAATCGGTTGATCCGTGCTCTCAAAATCGTCGACGAAAAAATGTTTCCGATTTATGTGTGTGTATATACATATATATGTGTGTGCTAAACTTTTTTTTGCCGACGATTTTGAAAGTACTGTTTTATCGATAAAAAACCTTACCTTATTGTTCGAAAAAACTAAATTTGACTAAATGTTGATAAAAATGTTTATAAAAAACCGTGAATAGTATTCCATGGTTTTTACTTGATATCATATTCAAATGAAATATTTAGTAGTTTATGACTAAAGTATCAAGATTATTTATTATTGTTTAATTTCTTAATGTTAATAGTGACGCATTTTTAATTTCTCTCTCCTTCTCTGTATCTTATAAAGTAAAACTTCTTTAGGCGCGACTAAGTTTTATTCGGGAGAATCTAAAACATTGTGAAAATAAATTTAACAAAGAATAATTCTCCATTTCTTTCTCACAAAATTTAGACAATTTGTCGACTAAATTTATGTCTCACATTTCAATAATCTCGAACTAATTATATCATATTAAAGTAACTAATTTATTGTTTAAAAATATTAGTATAGTTGTTGACATTATTAAATGTGTTATTAGTAGTATTACCATATTACCAATAAACATGATTTTAAATTCTTAAATGAAGAATTTATTTTTGATTTAATAGTCATCTTGTAAATAGCAAAAAAGTCCTATATATATATATATATATATATATATATATATATTATAATAAAATATAACTTTTAACATTACATAGACTTTATTTACAACATAACTTCTCTTTTTTTACACAAAATATACATTCGTTTCACATTTAGAAAATAATCTTTAAATGCTTAACATTTAATACGTTGTTCATTTATATTACACAAAATTTAATTTATTTAATTATATATATATATATATATATATAAATATATTTAAAATTACACTTTATTAAGAATTGACATTTTGTTTATAAAAATATTACCATAACATTTATTTCGTATATTATTTGTACGTATATAAGTTTATTTTTTCTATTAATAGCACATTTGTAATATATTTATGTAGGAAACCATTTAATTTTTCAAGTGAAACTTCTTGAGTAATTTTTGACACCGGAGCCTTTGTTAAGCCATACCAGCCGAAATAAAATGAAGGAAAATAAATTTATAAATTTAATAAAAATTCATTTACAATTTATAAAAAATTGAAATAATTGTTATGTTATTAATTTTAAAAATTTCGTAAGTATCAAGAATTTAAATTAAAATTATTTATAAAACTTGATTAAAAAAACTTGAAAGATTTAAAATGAGAACATTAAAAAATATATCAATAACTAGTATACTAATAACAAAATTAATTATAATTTGCAGATATAATGAAATAAACAGATTTCAATAATGTGTTAAAGTGAGTTCAGAAGTTTCACTTCAAGTGACTTGAATTTTATTTAATTTCTATCTATAATAACATTTAGTTCTGTTAAATTGCAGATGTTATAAATTTAATACAGTTAATTTTTCTTAAAAAAAAACTTTTAAACAATTTTCACGAGATCTTTGTATTTAAAAAAATGTGGCTCTGCGAGGTAGTCTAGGGTTAAAAATGGCTTTTTATAATATATAATATTATTTAAAGTATAAGAAAAATATAAATGACAAATTTAATAGATTTTCGACTATGTCACATCTAAAGCCACAATTAGAGTTAAATATTTGAATTGTTTAAACATAATGGTACTTAAAATAAACTATAAAGAAATTATTTACACATTCACATTCACGCTTCTCAAAAAAAATTATATATATATATATATATATATATATATATATATAATTTATACTATTTGTAAGATTTATATATGTACAAATTTGTATAATAATAATACAATAATAATAAAATATATATACGGTCTGGTAGAGATCGTGTTTTCTTTTTTTTGTCAAAACGATTGCAAAATCAGGTTCTGAAATTGTTAAATTTATTTAAATATATATATATATATATATAAATATATATATAAGGTAGGGCAGGGCACAAAGGTCCAATATGACTTTGAGCAAATATATTGTGAAAACCAAGCTAATTGTATTACAACAAATACCACATATCAAACAAACAACTATCTGACTATGTTCAGTAAAACTCCCAGCTAACTCACCATTGTAGAAATGTGTTTTTATGCAATTTTTCAAAAATTTGACGGCCAAGAGTCAAACAGTCAATGCAAAATATTAATTTCATGGATACAACCCACTGTATACAACCTTGATTTGGTATTTCGTCAGAAATATTCATCATCAAAGTTCGAATAATTATTTATTTAATTTATCTGTTGTAAAATTGATTTTTTTGAACTTAATTTACTATTTATTTGCAATTTTATATTTTTCACACCTTTGCCAAGGTCAAGGTTCAGTTTGTCCTTTTTACTCCACCCAGGTATAAGCATTTATAGGAGTTATATAAAAAAAACTGTTGAATCTCACTTAAAATTAACAATACATTTTATAAAACAATTATATAACGTGTACTTAAAAATTTTGATTAAGGTCTCGTAAACTAAACAACAGTGCTCACAAGGAAAAAAAACTTTTGTTATGGATTTTCAAACATTTTTGTTTATCTTGTGATAGCAACGTCGTAAGAATCAAGGTCATGACTGGTTATACATCTTTTGCCCTCTACTTTCAAATATTGCTGTTAAAAAATTCTTAACTTTACTGGTATTTAAGATATTGGTTGATAGGATTTTTTACCCTAAGACCTTTAAGCCCCGCTGTACCCTATATACATTTAATTTATTTATAATATATATTCAATAATTACAAAACCTGATGCAACCTATTTTAAATATCACCTTATTGCATATATATATATATATATATATATATACATATACATATATATATATAATTTATTTTTAATATAAATATAAATGTTTAAAAAAATATTTAAAAACATTTAATGCATATAAGTGGGACAACGAAAATTATATACATATGCAAAAACAAAAACTTTTGTGCTAAAAAGATTAAAAAATATTAAAAAACATATACAGAGTAAGCGAAGATCGAGTAATAGTGTTGACCTTAATAGTTCTGAAAAAATTTAGCGAAAAAAAATTATCTCACGTTGTTTGAAAATTATAAGTGAAAAAATATTCTGACCATTTTTCGGTTTTTATTAATTTCTACCAATTTTGTTCATTTAAACTTTAGAACCTAATAACCATAATATTTCTAGGACACACAATCAAAAAAAAATAACACAATTGCCTCAAGGTTTTAAAAATTAAGACTTTTTGTTAAACTTTGAATTTAATTTTTAACTTCCCGGAGGAGAAGTTTATGTTTTCAACAAAAAATCCGATTCGCTAATTTTATGTTTTCTCGACGTTTTGAGCCATTCTGAATTGAATGAGACCAAATTTCGAAATAGTATGTGTGTGTGTGAAATTTTTTTTTACCTTAAATCAATATTTTTTCAAAGAACCAGACCGATTTCAAAAATTTAAAAGCCATTCGATGTATTTTGACGAGGACCATCGTTTGTCAATTTTGTCCATGTTTTAGACAAAAATTCTAGCTTAATTTGAAAAATTCGAAAACTGTTTGAAAGATATTATTTGGGAATCGACCAGATTAGTTTTGGATAAAGATCGGCCGAGCCATTTCTTCGCAATTAACTGTTGAAATTTTTTCGATGGAATTTTTTATGTTGATAGACATCGTGGTCCTAAATAATAACAAAGTAGTTTAATTTTTAAAATCCATCAATATTTGAATAATGTTTATAATAGCAAAAAAGAATAATGTCGCCTTTGAGATGCGATGAGTCAACATTTGATTCCACAAATTTAAAAGCTATTTTTTTGGAATTAGCGGAAAAATAAGTCTACAAAAATTCATGGACTATGTACGTAATACACATAATCGTGCAGTTGAAAATTTCATCTAAATATCAAAATCTCAATTTTGGTTGATTAAGTCAATCATCATAGTCCAGTCATTTAAGCTTAAATTAGGTAAGAATCTCGGAATTTTCTCTGTTGAAAGTCTGTAAATACTTGTATATTGACACCTAAAAGTTGTCTCAAAACCTACATATGGTAGGGTGAACGCAGCATATGTAGGTTTTGAGACAACTTTTAGGGTGTCAATATACAAGTATTTACAGGCTAACAGCTGATTATCTCGAATTCCGAAATAAACTTACTATAATGACTATTACACTACTATTACACATTTCGGGAAGTTCATGCAACTTGCCTTAAGGCAAAATGCTACTTTCAACTAGTTTTCAAATCGGTCGACTTTGAGAAGCTCTGCTTTTAATAAAATGCACTAGAGGGTGTTGGCAAATTTCATCAATAGGTACAATACTTGATAATTTCATTATTGAAAAATTTCGAGTAAAAACTAGTTGGTATTGGTATTTAGCCTTGAGGCAAGTTACATGAACTTCCCGATATGTGCAAATAATCGACTTAATCAATAAAAAATAAATTCATTTATGAATGATTAAAAGTATTCTGATTGAATTTATTACACATGATTGAAAACGAACGAACACGACGTTAGCTAGGAGTTTTTTCTAAAAGCAAATTTTCACAAATCAATAATTTTTATAATTGAGCCAGTTTCCGTAGCACTTTAATGGTTTAGTATGTTCATTAAGACCAAGTACTCTATCGTTATACCAAGTAAATCGTCTAATTTTAATTTTAACAAACGTCAAAAAAAACTACTCATTTTCTCAAACTTTGATAAATTTTTAAAATTAAACTACTTGTCGTAAGGCCGTGATATTTCAGTGAGTTCTATAAGACTATGATATATATCGCCAAAAAAAGTTCCATTAAAATCGGCCTAAATTTTTGTCAACAGTTAATTACAAGAAAACGGTTCGGTAGATTTTCGTCTAAAACCAATCAGTATCATTCCCAACTAATATCTTTCAAACAGTTTTTGATTTTTTAAAATCGTTTCGGTAGGATGAGCTTAAATGTGGACGAAAAGTTTAACACTTTTTTTTCAAATTACAAAGAAACGGATTGGCTGATTGTCACAGAAAACTGATAAACGCTAGTCCTCATCGATATATATCGAATGGGTGTTAAATTTTTGAAATCGTTTTAGCCGTTTTTGAAAAAACGTTGATTTAGGGCAAAAAATCTGCACACACACATACACACATACATACTTTATCCAAATTTGGTTTCATTCGATTCAGAATGCTTGAAACGTCCAAGAGAAAACATAAAATTAGCGAATCGAATTTTTTGATGAAAACATAAACTTTTCCTTCGGGACGTTAAAAAAACCGAAAAATTGTCCCATAATTGATAACGCACTTAAATCCTTTTGTTTCGTAGTTTCATAATTTCGGCCGGGACGCCCTGTATTAGGGTGGTCCTTAAAATGGTCATTTTCGAATTTCCTTGCTCCCAGGGGCTCAAATGGTTCCAAATAGATAAAAAACAATTCTCTGAAAGTTTTAGCTCTTAATATTAACATTTAGATAGAGCGCAATTCAATCAAAGTTTGTATGGGAAGAGCATGGAAAAAATTTTGAAAATTTAAAAAAAAACCATACTCACATATTATATATATATATATATATATATATATATATATACCTTGCTTTTAAAATCATTTGTATTATAAAAAATTTAAAACTAAAAATAAATCAATTTTTTGCTTTGCACAAAAATCATTGCATTTGCTTTAAAATATGTCCTCTTATCATCCTAAAATCATTTTAATCATCACAGCACATAACCTCAAACTCACCATCTTACCATGTTACTCCTTAAGCCTCTTCACCACCATTTTCTGGCTCGTTAGTGTATCATCAGGCGCCGACCACCGCCTCTTCTTACAATTCGCGAAACCATCATCGGCCAGTCTCTCCTTATTCTTGTCGCACAAAAACTTATGTTTTGTCAAATTCTGAGGCTCCTCCGAAAACTGATAAAGATTAGAATCAGCAGTCGCCGACCTCGGCATTTCCTGAGGCCTCTGCTGACACATGGATGTCACCTTTGACATCTGCCTGGGATATGACACAGCCGGTGTCATTTGCAATTGTCTTGCAGCATTGAGATGAGATGCAGCAGGAGCTGGTGGTTTGTTATTAGTCGTCCTTTCTGGGTAGTGAGGTTTGGCGGTTTTCAAGGCTTGTAGACTTTTGGAGGAAACATGATGTGGGGTTTGAGGGTTGGTGGTGGTTTTGTCTTTGGGGGTTAGAGATATGCAGATGTCGCCGACTTGAAGCCGGTTGCACTTTAGGCCGTATTTTCGCATCGTGGCTTCAGGGGAGCACGAGGCCCAGCCTTGACCGTAGACGAAGAATGGGTGCTCTTGGGATGTTTCGAACTCAACCTGGAAGGGAAATAATTATTATATTAAACTAGGTGTAGATAGCATTGGACGTTAAGGCCAGTTGCATGAAATTTCTGATACGTATACAAAATAAACTTAAACTAGTGGTGCATGGCATCGTGCCTTAAGGCAAATTGCTGGACTTCCCGTACCGAAAACTAAATTAACTAGCTGAATTAAGTGGAATTCTGTCTTAAGGCAATTAGGGAATCGTGCCTTAAGGCAAATTGCTAGAACTTCCCGTACCGCAATTCAAAATTCGAGTAATTAAAAATAATCAATAATAATAATCAAAAAAAGTTGATCAATGATTTGAAACTTTTAATAGAATTTCGAACCATATTAAATCATTCTATCTTAAATCATTTATTTTGAAATATTTTGGAAATTCTGAACTTTTTTTCGAAGCAATCGTACTGTTTTAACTGCATAAAGACGAAATATCAAAGCGCGTAAGCGCCGCGTCGCCGTCTAACGCGTAAACATTGGTACGGAACCCATAGGAATATGAACAAAATTTATACTTATTGATAAAATCTCTATAAAATATCTGATAATTTGATGTGCATATGTCTAATGATCATTTTTCACCGCCAAATGGCATTTATTTTTACTTTTTTACTCGATCTCCGAAATCGCTGAACCTGCCTTCATGAAAATTTGATCAATTCTTCATCTTGTCAATGCAAGTAAAATGTTTTTTGAATTATTCAAATCGGACGCTCTGTTCTCTCAAAAACTGAGTTACTATTTTCGGCACTTTTTTCCGTATCTTCGGAACGGCTAGACCTGCCTTCGCCAAAAACTAATTAGCACGTTTCCTCATCAATACGAATCGAATGTTTTTTGAATTATTCAAATCGGTTTCTCCGTGTTCCCGAAATCGTCGACGAAAATTTGTATCCGTACATACATACACACACACGCGCACACACACATCAATTTTTTCTAAGATGTGCCAAAATGCTCAGAAACCTTCGAAACGTAAAGATATATAAAATTTTCATTTTCGATTTTTTTGCGATTACTATAACTTGTCATCAAAGTTTCATGAAAATCGTTAAATGAAAAAATAATTAAAAGTAATAAAAATAACTGAGAAATATTTTCATCAACAAAAAAATTAGAAAAAGGACAAATTAAATATCTGTTTAGGAAAGTAAGAAAGGAATTCTACTACGAGCAAATTATATATCTGTCTAAGAAAATCAAAAATGGGACTCTACTGACAATCAAATTAAAAATCTGCGTGGAAAAGTAAGAAAAAAACTCTACTGACAAAAAAATTATCAGTAAAGAAGGGACTCTACTGACGAGTATATTAAATATTTGCATAAAAAAGTTAAAAATGGACTCAACTGACAAGTAAATAAATATCTGTCTAGGAAAGTAGAAAATTGATTCTAGTGACGAGCAAATTAAATATCTGCCTAGAAAAAAAGACTCTACTGATGAGCACATTAGATATTTGGTAGGTAAGTAAAAAAGTGGAATCTACTGACAATATCAATTAAATATCAATATATATATATATATATATATATATATATATATATCTGTTATCACGAGATGTAAACATTTGTATAGAATAAATTAAATAATGAGTAATTGTTGATCAAGTTGCGACATGTTTGCATCAAAACAGCAGCTGCAGGACATTTATATATATATATATATATATAAATATATATATTATTCCTATTAGTCATGTGTCATAATTAGATACTTATTTTTATATCTCGTTGAGACGACATAGGAAATACAATAAATAATGTATATCACTCGTGATAAAAGACATTTATATATATATATATATATATATAAATATATATATATATATATATATATATATATATATATATAAATATATATATATTTATTTTACAAGCCGTCAGTATAATGATATAATAAGTCTCAGCAGATTTAATATAATTTAATTAACTGTTAACTATTTCATTACTTGTTCAGTTATTATTCAATTTATTTATTATAAACTTATTTAGATTTGGGTAATTTTAATTATTTTTGAATATAAATGTTTGTTGCAAGTATATTTTAACAATTTGTTTTCCTGAAGATGAAGCATACCTAATTTCCGAAATGTCGAAAATAAATTTCTTGTTTGATGCACAACACTAATTGCATTACAAATGGCAACTACACCGTCATTGGCGAATCTAGTTAAATTAACTAATTAATATCTAACAAGCCACAATGTTCATTCACATACTCCTCCAAAACGGCTTTACCGATTTTTACCAAATTTTATATTCCCATTTTCTCATTGTACAAATATTTCCCGATGCGCACAAACAGTACATAGTTGATAAATGGTTTGCATAAAGAGCAATTTTTGCAAAAAAATATAGAAAGATTGAATATTAATATAAAAAGATACAACAGTTTTTGATAGGGATCTATAGGTACCATACGAATCTATGGCAAAGCTGTAAAATTTTCCACTCTCCTAATTTTCTTCAATCTCAGTCAATTCGCTGGGCATGCCACATAACAATATAATTTAAAAATAAATTATCGGATTTTGATTCGTAATTCAAATTACTAAAATAATCAAAAGCGCGGTAATAATTTACTAAAATCATGAAACTTCAAATGTGCCAATTCAATTTAAATAGAATCAGTTTCGGATTAGGTTGGCTCTTGCAAAGACTATTGAGGGATATTTATATGTAGCGTACTTTGCAGTGGGTAAACTATTCATATATTTTTTGTTAGCTGCCTCTTTCACTTATGCACCACATTTGCAATCAGTTAGTTATTTTCGTACTAAACATTTTTTACTAGAAATAGTTTTTATGGCAATACGACATTTGCCGGATCAGCTAGTATATATATATATATATATATATACTAGCAAACCCGACGAACTCCGTTTCGCCACCAGATGGTTTCGTGAGAAAGATGAAGAAATTTTTTGTTTGTTTTATATTTGAAAAGAAAAAAAATGATTTTATTACACAACAGTAATGAATTTATTTCGATTATAAAAATGAAGTGTTTTTTAGTTGAACTTCTCTAAGTAAATGAAAGAGAATCCGCAAATTATCCGTTTCATTGAAGTGCTCTTTGGTAAACCACATTTTTTGTTTTTTGGTCTGACGTTAACACAAACAAAGCTGATGGTTTTCCAACTCGTGAACAGGGGACGTATAACTGCCCATGAGGAAAACAATGATTTTCTAAATAATCTATTTGAAATTTATCCCGCAAACACTAAGCGATTGGCCTTGCGACTTGTTTTCCTTCCTGACGATATAACTCCAGAACGCACGAACCGATTTCGACAATGATTGCATTAGTTGGAAAGGTCTCGGTCTCCGCAAGGTTTCTCACTCTCATCTACTTAGAGAAGTTCAACTAAAAAACACTTAATTTTTGTAATCGAAATAAATTCATTACTGTTGTATAAGAAAATCAAATTTTTCCTTTTCAAATATAAAACAAACAAAAAATTTCTTCATCTTTCTCACGAAACCATCTGGTGGCGAAACGGAGTTCGTCGGGTTTGCTAGTATATATATATATTATCAATTCCTTTCTTACCCTGTCCCTATGCTGGTTAAAACTCAGCGTCAAGGTAACCCTTCCTCCGCCGTCATCTTTAGCACTTTCACCTCCCGACGTCGTCACGTTTATCCTGACGACGGTGACATCTGTCAGAGTGACATCTCCTGTCACGTCCGCAGATCGTCGGAAATCGTCCGCCCTCATGTCCTCCACTCGTCTCACGTCGCCGTCCGCCAGGCGAATGAGGGCGCCGCGGGAGAAACCGGAGGCCACTGGAAATAGATAATTAAAAATTAATTATAATAATGCAAGAATAATCTTATATATAAAAATGGAGCTCTCGATCAAATGATTCGGTAAAACTCGAAAACGGCTGAACCGATTTGGCCAGTCTTTGTCTTGAAAAATTCGTGCTAATCAGTAGGTTGTCGGAAAGGTGAGATATTATCTCAAAACCGGGTAGAAACTTTACATTTTTAATTTGAACATTGTTGTAGAAGCGTAATTTGAATAAAACAATGGACGGTGGCTAATACGTCAAATGTCAAACGTTTTTGACGAATGATGTTCAATTGCCTTTAATGGGATGTTTTACGTGAATATTATTTAATCATGATTAAATTGTAGTGAGTAGTTTTGTTTGTAGTTTTATTTGTGCACAAAAACGTTATTTAACGGGCCACAAGTGTTACTAGAAACTCAAAATATCAACTTTTTTGAAATGTTAATATGAAAATGCACTTTTTGGCGTCGTAACACTCAAATCATATTTTTCTCAAACACGGTGCTCTGAAAGATCTCATTTGTATAATAATATACTCATTGGTATTTATAAAACATTTTCTAGGTTATATTATTTTTTATTTATGTTATTTAAATTCAGAACCTAAATTTGGTATCGAACGAAGGGACATTTTGTCGAATAACATTTTCCCAGTTATAATTTCCCAGAATTTATCGAAATATATATAGTAATATATGAAGGTCCGGGGTTAAAAAGATGCACCACCGATGTGTCAAAAACCAGTAAAGTTAAGCATTGTTAACAACAACATTTAAAAGTAGAGGGAAAAAGATGTATAACCGGCTATAACCTGATTCTCATGACTTTGCTATCGGGAGGTAAACGGTTATCTTTGAAAATCCATAATAAAAGTATTTTCTTCCGTTGGTAGTTTTTTAGCATTAGTTAAAATGTAATTATTTTGTGAAATACTTTCAAAATTAAAATAAGACATTACACCTGTTTCCCTCCGGGCCGTTAAAAGTTACCCCGCCTATAGGGTAAAATAGTCTAGATAACATATTGTTGAAAGACATCAAAAAAGCACATTTTTACAATGATGAAGTAGCTGGCAGTTTCACTAAACGTAGTCAGATAATTGTTCATTTGAAATGTGTTATTTGTTGTGATATAATTGTTATGGTTTTCATAATATAGTTTATATTTGCTCAAGTCAAATTCGACATTTGTGCCTCGCCCTGCTCTACATAAATACTTTTTATTAAATTTACTTTAATTCATCGAATGTTACTTGAAACTTTTCAAAAAGAAGGTGAAAGAAGAAATACTTAATTGATTTTCTATCTCTCCTCCGAAATTTGAAAATTTTGTATAAGCTCAGTAGTATTATTCACAATTATATACAAAATCCAGAATCCAAAAAGAAACTGAAAAACTTGAAAGGTAATCAATAAGTCGAAAGACCTAAAAACACTTGGATTGGATTATACCATATGTTTTCTATAGAAAGTGTATAAAACTTCCAGTTTGATTGTATTGGCAAAATATAGACAAACTAATGGGGTTTATTGTTTTTATAATACCTAATTGTATACAGCATTCAAACAACGCATCCTTATGCACTTAAAGTATTAATATTTTTGATTCTCTAGAAATTGTTTAGAATATACCTTACCTAGCAGAACAACGTTTGCCGGGTCAGCTAGTATATATATATATATATATATATTATATTTATTAATTTTCACCTGTAGGTAGCGCCGTCGGCGAAGTGACTGAGAATGAAGGCGACTGTGGCGACAGAGGCGCTACCGATGCTGGTGGTGACGGCCTTAAAATTCTGTGTTTCAAAGATCCTTCTTTACCTGATGGCACCTGAAAAATGATAAAATAAAATTTTAAATAAATAATTTAATTTTATGGACTGATTCTGCCGCATAACAGAAAAAATGTTATAGCAAGGCCATGTTAAGAAAAACTTCCCATACTAATTGGAGCGCATTCCATAAATAACTAGTTATATTTAATTAAAACTCAATACTTCACTATTCTACGATGATTTTATTAGAATTGATTATATGAGATATTATTTTCTATACATTCTTTTGTTTTTGTATTGCAAATATCATGGCACACTAAATCTAACTTGGAGCAAATTTGCTCCACTAATATTGACAAAAACCATGCGGTTGGTGTGCAGTCAGGCGTATTTTTCATGTTGTCATATAGAAAACCTAACCAAGAAACCGCATAAATGTCCAAAAAATGATGTTAGATAACACGGTCTTTCTGACTCAGCTTCATAATGTATGAAAGACGTTGCAGTTTATGTGTAAAACGCCTGAATGCGCAGCAAATACATTACATTTCGGCAGTGTTCAGTATGATTCAGTAGAATAATGTATGCAAGTTGGAGCGTAACATAGCCTTATTATTAACTTCCCGTAGGGTAGTTATAGTAATGGGCCAAAAATCGAAAATGAAAATTTTTGCATTTCTCGACGTTTTCAAGGTTTCTGAACATTTCGGCATACCTCAGAAAAATGGACGTGTGTGTGTGTGTGTTTTGTATGTCCGTATTTTTTCGTCCACGTTTTCGGGCGTACGGATCAACCGATTTGAATAGTTTAAAAAACATTCGATTTGTATTGATAGGGAGATGTGCTGATTAGTTTTTAGCAAATGCAGGTCCGGCCGTTACGGAGATACGGAACAAAGAGTGCAGAAAATACAAATCGAGTTTTTGAGAGAACGGAGTATCGGATTTGAATGATCTAAAAAACATTCAATTTGTAATGATTGGGAGAATAGGTGATTAGTTTTTGGCAAAGACAGATCCCGCCATTTCGAAGATACAGAGCTAAATGTGCAAAAAATGGCAGTTTTCGAGTGAACTAAGCGTCCGATTTGAATGATCTAACTAGCTGTAAGTGGCATTCTGTCTTAAGGCAATTAAGGCATCGTGCCTTAAGGCGAATTGCTGGAACTTCCCGTACCAAAAATTATTATTTTTTTTAAAAACGATTAACATTTTTGAAAAAAATTTACTTCGAAAAAATAAGATTTTTGACAAACAATTAGACTTTTTTTATTTTTTTTTGTTTTGAAAAAAATGTTTTCTTTATTTTGACATATTTTGAAAGATCTAAACTTTTTTCAAAGCAATCGTACTGCTTTAACTGCATGAAGACGAAATATCAAACCGCGTAAGCGCCGCGTCGACGTCTAACGCGTAAACATTGGTACGGAACCCATAGGAATGTAAACCAAAATTATACTTATTGTTAAAATCTCTATAAAATATTTGATAATTTGATGTGCATATGTCTAATGATCATTTTTGACCGCCAAAAGGCATTTTTTTTACTTTTTCATTAAATCTCCAAAACCGCTAAACCTGCCTTTATGAAAATTTGATCGGATCTTCACCTTGTCAATACAAGTGAAATGTTTTTTTGAATTATTAAAATCGGACGCTCCGTTCTCTTAAAACCTGAGTTACCGTTTTCGGCACTTTTTGCCCCGTATCTTCGGAACGGCTAGACCTGCCTTCGCCAAAAACTAATCAGCACGTCGCCTTATCAATACGAATCGAATGCTTTTTGAATTATTCAAATCGGTTGATCGGTGTTCTCGAAATCTTTATTAAATTATTACCATAAATTAAAGGTTTATAAATATAAAATACAGAAATTACTGGTAAAAATCATATTTCCAAAAAATACTAATTTTTTTCTATTAAAATATTTGTATCCAATTTTATAAAACCTAATTTCTAACCCTACCCATAATCATCCGAACACACACATATATACGTACACACATGCACGCACACGCTCATACACATCCATTTGGTATGCCAAGGTACGCCAAAATGTTCAGAAACCTCTGAAACGTAAAGATATATAAAAATTTGCATTTTCGATTTTTTTGCTATTACTATAACTTACCCTACGGGAAGTTAACTAAAAACCACACAACGATCTTAGATAACAAGGTGTTTCTGACGCAGCTTCATAACATACGAGTGACGTTGCAGTTTATGCGTAAAACGCCTGAATGCACAACAAATACATGACATGTTTCAGTAGCACAATGTATGCAAGTATGATTCAGTAGCACAATGTATCCAAGTTGGAGCGTAACATAGCCTTGCCATAACATTTTTCTGCGTCCTCTTACTATTTTATCTTACCTTGAATCCCTGTTCACATTCGAAGCTCTTCCCTACACCAGTGCTCATAACGCACTTCTGCTTAACCAGCTCCAGCTGCTGCAGCTGCTGCTGCTGCAAATGCTGCTGCTGCTGGTGTCCTCCGTACCCAACAGGCGGTTTTGGAGGTACAAAACCTCCACCACCATTTCTCATATCATAAATCTCCTTCGCATAAAAATTGGTCAAATCCTGGTTGAAGAAATGTTGTCCAAAATTCGTCGTCGGTACCATTTGGCGGTAGGAACTTTTGGTATCGATTGGCGGTGAGGTATCTGACAAGTTCCTTGGTAAAATTATTTGGCGGTTCAGATGGTGGTTTGTGGGTTCTTCTCGCCTCCTGTCGTTCGTGTAATGGTTCATAGTTTCGTAGTGCTGAGGGTAGTGTTGCTGGTTTTGGTATTTCAGGGAAATTTTTGGCTGGTGGTTAAAGTTGTGATTGGAGTCTTTCGGTTGAGCCAAGTCTACAGGGCCTGGCGTCGAGGATTGGGGATGGGGCGAATCCGGAACACCGTTGGAGTATCTACAAAAAAAAAAAAAAAACTAGTTGGTTTGGTATTTTGCCTTAAGGCAAGTTACATGAACTTCCCGATATGTGTAAATAATCGACTTAATCTTTTATTATCGTATATATACATACATGCGTTAAAACATGAAACATAGTAAGTATGCTAATATGTATGACTTACAGGAATATATTTATTTTAATCTGGATTTTTGTTAATCACCTTGAAACAATGAGAATAGTTGTTAGAGTATCTGATAGTGTAGTGTAAGTAGAATTTTGCATATAAATTTGTAAATATTTCACTCATTACTCATTAATTTAGATTTAGCCACTTTTAAATTATTAACAATATATTTTATGTGATTTTGAAATTTTGAGGGAAAAGTTTGAAACTTCAACGATTTTCTATTATTCAACCTCTCTTAGACCTGTAATATTTTAAGATGTTCGTTAAAACCTTGAACCTTATTATAAATCCATGATAGATAAATTAATTTGTGAGTAATTAGAAGTATTCCGAGAGAATTTATTACACATAATTGAAAAAGAACGAACACGTTAACTCGGAGTATTTTCTAAAAGCAAATTTTCAAAAATCAACAACTTTTATAATTAAACCAGTTTCCATAGGACTTTAATGGTTTAGTATGTTCATTAAGACCAAGTACTTTATCGTTATACCAAGTAAATCGTCTAATTTTGATTTTAACAAATGTCAAAAAAATTCCTTGATAACAGAGAACTATCCAAGAAGATTGAAAAGAGAAGCGCCACTGGATTTAAGCCATCAACTCTCCTGATAAAAAATTGAAATAACTTAATCATTATTTATAAGAAATTATTCAATAAGTAAATAGTTAAAATTATATAATTATCAATAAAATATTGTGAATTTTATATCAAATGGAAAAACAACTACTGAGTTGTTTTTCCCAACATGCCCTTGTAGTATAATGTCCCTTTCGGCCGACTATTGTAAATTCATCAAATTAATTGAATGTCCTTTACTGGACAGTTGTAAATAAAAGAGATAAAAAAATGTCAAAATAACTACTCATTTTCTCAAACTTTGATGAATTAAAATTAAACTACTTGTCGTAAGGCAGTAATATTTCAGTAAGTTCCATAAGACCATGATATATATCGCCAAAAAAAAATTCCATAAAAATCGGCCTAATTTTTTTTTCAACAGTTAATTACAACAAAACTGCTCGGTAGATTTTCACCTAAAACTAATCAGTATTGTTCCCAACTAATATCTTTAGAACAGTTTTTGATTTTTTAAAATCGATTCGGTAGTATGAGCTTAAATGTGGACGAAAAGTTTAACACATTTTCCAAATTACAAAGAAACGGCTTGGCAGATTATCACACAAAACTGACAAACGATAGTCCTCATCGAGATACATCAAATGGCTTTTAAATTTCTGAAATCGGTTCAGGCGTTTTTGAGCAAACTTCGATGAAAGTTCTAATTTTGACAAATGCCAAAGAAACGATACTAATTTTTGCAAACTTTGACGAATTTTTAAAGCTAAACGAGTTGTCGTAGGTCCGTAATATTTCAGTATGATCTAGAAGAGTATGGTATTTACCGTCAAAAAAATAATAATAAAAACTGGCGAAAAAAATTTTTTTAACATTTAAACCTTATTACAAGAAAACGGTCCGGCCGATCTCTACCACAAACTAATCAGCACGATTCCCAACCAATATCTTTCGAACGGTTTTTGAATTTTCAAAATCGATTCAGAATTGCGGGCTAAAACGTGGACGAAAATTTTTTCACTTTTCTGCAATTTACAAAGAAACGTCTCGGCCGATCGTAGCGCAAAACTGACAAACGATAGTCCTCATCGAGATACAACGAATGGCTTTTAAATTTTTGAAATCGGTCCAGCCGTTTTTGAGAAAACGTCGATTTACGGCAAAAAATCTGTTCTCACACACACATACTTTTTCCTAAAATTCGGTCTCATTCGATTCAGAATGGCTTGAAACGTCGATAAAACATAATTAGATAATCGAATTTTTTGATGAAAACAAACTCCTTCGGGAAGTTAAAAACCGGTTTTCTGAAATGTCGGTTTTTGTATAAACCCTAGTTCACACACTCGCACACACACACACATACTTTTTCCAATGTTGATCTCATTCTATTCAGAATGGCTTGAAACGACGAGAAAACATAAAATTAGCGAATCGGATTTTTTGATGAAAACATAAACTTCTCCTTTGGGAAGTTAAAAACAAATTCATACATCTATCCAATTATCACCCTCAATCGTCTACTGACCTTTTCGCCACAGGTCTAGCAAAGTCCCCGCCGCTTTTGTGGAGCCTAAAAAGCGCCTCATGAGGCACCCCATTCAGGAGCGCCTCGGTGCCTCCTAAACTCCTCAAATCACCAGCTTCCACATTGCTTCCTAAATGCATATGACGAAGTCCCAGACAATTAATCTGATCCTGATTCGGATGCTGTTTCATTCCAGGATGAATAGCCTGAACTTTGATAGGGGCACCGGTGGAAGATGAGATCGGTAAAGAGGTTCCTAGATTTAGAGGTACTTGGGTCGTTGGTGCTGGGACTAAGTTGAGAGAAGGTGCTGCGGTGCCCAGATTTGTAGAACCAGGAGGCGCTGGAGGGTTCAGTCGGGTGTGATGGTGGTAACGGTCTTGGGTTGAAGACGACCTAGAAAATATATGACATTATATGATGCATAAAATCAAGAAGCATATCCCACATCAGGAAATTAGAACTCGACACAAATATCATCAAATCTCTGCTTAACCCAATAAAAAGACTGAAGAAGAAATGGCCTGATGACCTTCCTCATCTATCATCATAAAAGCATTCACCACTCGACAGAGTAGCTAATGCTCAGTTCCAGCCATAGTTGATGTTAAGATTATTATTTCAATATTTTTGTAATTTTATTAACTTCCCGTGGGGTAAGTTATTGTAATGGGCCGAAAATCGGAATTGAAAATTTCTACATTTCTCGACGTTTTGAAGGTTTCTGAACGTTTTGGCATACTTCAGAAAAAATTGATGTGTGTGTGTGTGTGTATGTATGTACAAATATACGCCCACGTTTTCGAGCGTACGGATCAACCGATTTGGATGGTTTAAAAAACATTCGAGTTCTATTGATAAGGAGATGTGCTGATTAGTTTTTGGTAGAGGCAGGTCCAGCAGGTACGGAGATAACGAGCAAAGAGTGCAGAAAATAGAAATCGAGTTTTTGAGAGAACGGAGCATCCGATTTGAATGATCTAAAAAACATTCAATTAGTAATGATTGGGAGAAGGAGTTATTAGTTTTTGGGACAGGCCGGCTCAGCCATTTCGAAGATACGGAGCTAAATATGTAAAAAATGGCAGTTTATGAGAGAACTAAGCGTCCGATTCAGATGATTCAAATAACTTTCTGCTTGTTTTAACAAAATAGTTAATTTTGGAAAAAAAAATTTGTTTAATTTTTTTTTTTTTTTTAATTTTTTGTATATCGAAAATAATAATTCAGATTTTATTTTTAATTCTGACTATAGTTCTAATATACTTAAAACAAATAATTTCAACTCTGCAATTCAGTTTATATAATTCTTATAAATATTAGACAATGTTACAATATTTATAATAATCTATTTGAAAACAATGAATATTCCTCGAACACATCGTTACGGTACGGGAAGTTCCAGCAATTTGCCTTAAGGCACGATGCCACCCACCCCACTAGTTTTGTTAATATTCTGTTTATTATTTACATTTATATTTTTGTATTTAGGTTTAATTTTTTGTTTTTTATATACTCAACAGTTTTGTATTATAAAACTTGAATAAAGTTTTGATAGACAAAAACAAAAAAAAGATGATTTTTTGAATTGATGATTTTTTTGAAGTAAAACTAGGGTGTAAACCGTACAAATGCAACGGAAGTGCGTTACGGCAGATAACAGTCAATAAGAGTCGAATGCCAATGATTCGTCATTCGCTCTCGTTGATATCATTTCTATACGCGTCGATTGTGATTAGTCGTCGCGTATGTGAATAGAGATCTGTCGTTGTATGTGTACCGGCATCAACGTTGTATGCGTACCGATATCAACAAGGAAATCGACATAGATAGATAAACATTTTAAAGTTACATCCTAGTACTAATCTTGTCTGAACCAGAAGATTATTTTCCCTGTTCTTTGAAAATAAAAAAAAAAACAATTAAACATTTGTGTCGTGTACTAAACGTAAGTTTATTGATTAGAAATTATTTCTATAATATTTGTAGTTTCTATAAATCTTTGAGGTTATTACAATGGAAAATATTTTTTACGCAAGACAGATATTACAGCTGTTTAAAGAATGAGATTATATCGCCAGCGAAAGAGTAAAAAAAATACAAGCAGTCAATGAATGTATGTTAATTTTAATTACATGAAGTTCTTTAAACGCAATTATTACATGATGAGTGAAGTGTTTTGTGCATTAGTGACACTAATGAATGATCCAGCCCAAGTATTTAATACATTAAAAAACTAAAAACCACAATAACAAACGAAAATAAAAAAAGTTGTAATAATTTTTTATCTTCAGAAGCAATTGTTTTGTCAATACAAGCAGAAAGTTTTTTAGATCATTCAAATTGGATACTCCGTTCAGTTCTATCTATTTCAATCTATTATATTTACCTATGGTGGTGACTGAGCTGGTTCAAATGGTGGTTAGCCAAATGGTGGTGCATATACGTCGAATAGGCATGTCCTCCACTTATCGCAGCTCCTTCCACCGCCAAATTGGTCGCCGAAATCATTTTCTAAGTTCACCAAAACTTAGTTAGTCGATGTTAGTTAGTTGATGGAATATCTGAAACAATAATTAAATCATTAAATAATAAATATTTATGTATTTATATACACTTGTGTGCATTTTACATCTAGACAGGATGGTACGAGTACTCACAAGTGATAAGGCAGGCAAATCTAAAAAAAAATCCTTATCAAAAACAGAATACGTTTTCGCTGATACGACAACAGCTCTAATCTCATAATATTTCAGCAGACATACATTCTAGTGCATTTCATGTGATAATTATCAGCATTTTTATTTTCGCTGATATAATGTGTGGAAACGGACACTTTGTTTATGTAATACATATTTTAACTATAAATCACAATCTAACTATATTTGTATTTATTATTTAATTTCATTATTTTGTTCTGTGTTGATTTTTTAAACAAAGTGGCTTATATAGATGGCAACCCAAACGGTTGTCCTATCTTTGTATAACAAAAAATATTATTACAAATTTTGTAATACTAAATGATTAATTTTTATTGATACATCAACAACGGGTAAGGGCTAACACTTGAAACCATATTGCTATTTATAATTCCAAGTGAGAACAGAGGTCAATACTGCTTGATATCAAGCTGACCAAACTAGGTATCGCACTTGAAACTTCCTTAGCTCTGACCACTTGATCACGAACGATTCCGTACTAATTACATAATGTTTATTTAATAACAATTGCAACAAAAAATTAATTAATCGAGAAATTTTTTCGTTTCTGTCAACGTTAAGATATTTATTTAATTATTCGAGTTTGTTTTATTTTTTTTTAAATTCTGACTAAAGTTCTAATATACTTTAGACAAATAATTTCAACTTTGCAATTCAGTTTATATAATTCATATAAATATTAGATAATGTTACAATATTTATAATAATCTATTTGAAAACATTCAGTATTTCTCGAACATTTCGTTACGGTACGGACAGTTCTAGCAATTTGTCTTGAGACACGATGCCATACACCTCACTAGTTATCTTTTATATTGTAATTCTTTAGAAAATTTAGTTTTGACGATAATGTTGGTGTTATACGTACATTGAATGAAATCACAAAAAACAGTACAAATAGTTACATCATTAATTTAGATAAAACATAAAATTGGTCCTAAAATTAAACCTTGAGGAACACCTAATTTCATTCGTTTTTACTCCGAAATAAATTGCGTATAGTCGTTATTTAAGTAAACATTTTAAGACCTAAATGATCTAAACATAGAGATATAAATACTGATATAATAATACAATAAATAGCAATCAATAAAAATATTAATTAATAAATAAATACTATTTATTTGGTACATTTTTTCTATTTTTTTCTTGTTACGGTGGAGACGCCTTGTAGAAAATTATTAGATGCACAAAATATTTTTATTCTCGTTACGTAATATTTATCTAGAGTTAATAATAAATGTGTTATTGATACACATAAATTCCTTATCTGTGAGATAAATTTATGTCTATATCTAGTCAGATTTTTTATTAAGATAACATTCTCTTATGCTGACTCACAGCAGCACGCGCTGCTGTTTTCATCGATAAATTTTGTCTATCGATAACTTATCGAAGTCATGTATATGTATATATATATATATATATATATATATAATAAAAATTTAAAGTATAACACATACCTTTTATTTAGATAAAGTATTTAAAATGATAAAAACATTTAAAGCAAATTTTCTTATAAGAACATAATTTATTTCTTTATGCAAAATGAAGGATTGTTAGTATTAAAAGAATAATTTAAACTAATAATATATTCCACCACGAAGAAATCGTATTAAACATAACCATCTAAAATTGTCTGACTGAGATATAATAATAATATATAGATATATAAATAAAATAAAATTGGTAAGTTTGTATGTCATTAAACTGTTCCTAAACGTCTGATTTCAAAAAAATTGTCTTTGTCCCAGTGGATTTCCAATTAAAAAAAGTAACTAGTTGTAAGTAGATTTTTCCAAGACACAAAACATGAGCTTTCCGATACACTCACACCTGAATAATTATTGCTTGTCTTAAAATATTTTTTTTAGACAAGTATTATAATAATGAAATTTCGTCCAATATTTACCTTGTTCATTATTATATCTATACATTTAGTTTTTGATATAAAGTCTGATGATGGAATGTAGTTGTTGCAAATAATTAACATTTTAGTACAATTATAATTATTCAATGAAAATACATCAATCAAATATATTAAATTCATAATTTAAACAAATTAATTTCATTCATCATTTCAGTAATCGAAATTATATCGAATAGCTTTTTGTGAATACCTGTTTATTTAATTTAATTCGCTTTGTACAGATCATGTACAGATATACATATAACTTCATATATATATATATATATATATATATATATATATATATATATAATGTATATATTTATTATAAATGTATTATTATATGAAATGGATGGAAGAGGCACGTGTCGGCCACGCGCAGACCGACTTTCTCTTTCCGACTTATCGGAAAACGTTGGAAAACAGATTTTCCACAGTCAAGTACATGGCCAATTATATATTAATACATTATATACACGAATATATAAATATATACATTTGTATATATATATATATATATATAATGGAGAGGAAAAATATTGTTCAATGTTGACTGCTGGTTTCAGTGGTTTGTTTTTGTTCAAAGAGAATTATAAATTTAATTAATTAACTCGTTATTTTTGTATATATATATATATATATATATATATATATATATATGATAAATTTCTTGGAGGACGTAACATCAAGTGAAAAATTAATAAAGTAAAGTTTTACGTCATTATCAGTGGTTTTACAATTTTGAAAATAAAACAGAAAAAGTAACGTTAAAAACTAAATGTAAACAGAGCAAGAATAAAAAAATAAGACAAACTATTTATATCTCAATCTTAAATTAAACTAGTGGTGTATAACATCGTGCCTTAAGGAAAATTGCTGGAACTTCCCGTGATGTAATGAAAAATTCGAGAAATATTAAATGTTTTCAAATAGACTATTGTATAACTTATATATGTTTACGGAAAAAAGAAAATAAACAAAACTTAATCAATCGAATTTAAAATTAAGGATATTGTATAAAATTTCTAAGAATTATATAAACTAAAGTGCAAAGTTAAAATTATTTATTTGAAGTATATAATTGAGCTTCAGAACTTTATCTAGAAAAAAATAAAATTCGAATTACTTTCAATATTCAAAAAAAAATTTTTTTTGGGAATAAAAAAAAAATCCCCAAATCATTTGTTTCGTCAACACAACAGAAAGTATTTTGAATCATTCAAATCGGATGCTAAGTTCTCTCAAAAACTGCCGTTTTTTGCACATTTAGCTCGGTATGTCCTAAACGGCTAGACTTGCCTATGCCAAAATTTAATCAACTCTTCTCACAATCATTACAAATTGAATGTTCTTTAGATCATTCAAATCGGATGCTCCGTTCTCTTAAAAACTCAACTTCTATTTTCTGCACTCTTTTCACCGTATCTCTGAAACGGCTGGACCTGCCTTTGCCAAAAACTAATCAGCACATCTCCCTATCAATAGGAATCGAATGTTTTTTGAACCATATAAATCGGTTGATCCGTGCCAAAATGTTCAGAAACTTCTGAAACGTGAAGATATGCAAAAATTTTCATTTTCATTTTCGGCCAATTACTGTAACTTACCCTTTGACGTTTCAGAACAAGTTACATCCCATCATCAGCTTTTGCATTAAACACAAAATATACAGGAAATAATAGGGTACGGTTGTGCCACTTTTTTTTATCAGTATGTGAGTACAATTTTGTAAATTGATATTTTGGAAATTGTATTTTGGTTTCAAAGTTTGGATTCTTTTATACAATCGGCTGAGCCGTTTCTTTAGAACTAGCAGAAAAATGCAAAATACTTTGCTCACATTATAGCCAAAAATCCTGAAACGATTTTAAAAATTCAAAAATTATTCGACATAAATCATTTGGCAATCGTCCTGACTAGTTTTTGACGAAATTGAAATAGTTAAAGAAATGTATTCTAAACACGTGCAAAAAATGTTTTATAGATTTTCTGAATTTAAATTAAAAAAAATATTTACCTGTGAGTCCGATCTTCCTCGTATATATCATAATTTTTTTAATTGTAACTTCTTTGTTAATTACATAGTTATACGAATTTTAAGGAATTAAAGTTTGAACGAATAACAAATATAAATAATTATACCAAAATCCGCATTTACCTATTTTATAATGCAATTACCTCTTATTTTATTTTTATTACTTTAAAAATAACTTGACATTTACAACGAAGACGTATAACGCTCCATTTCGAGATCGAGCTCGTCGATTTTTGAAAATTTAAATTTCAAATTATTATTTCAGTCGCAAAAACTCGAATATTAAACAAATTTATTCGCCAAACATTGTATAATTTTTGTGCATTTTGTGTGCAACAATGTCTGCTTTAATAAAATTAGTATAAAAAAACGATTTGGAGTATTTTAAAAGTTTCCGTTATACATATTTGAATTTGAGTAAATCGATAATGGAGATAAATAGAATTGGTAAATATTTTAACGTTTTGTTTAAAATTATCAACAGGAATAAATTTTATAATTTTATAATGAAGTTATTTAGTTATTATGAAATTATTGGAATTGAATGGAAATCAATTTTGAGCAAGTACCAATTTGTCTTTCTATATTAACAACAAAATAAATTTGTTTGCTAACAATAAGTAATATTTTTTATAATAATTCTAGTCGAGTTCTGGTCACTATGTATGCAAAGAATGTTATAAATAGATTGTTGAATATGTAAATATATATTTATATATGTATAATATTATATTCCGAGTAAATGCTGAAAATGCTGAGTAAACAAGCTCATGTGTAAACATCAGCTGTGCCCAAGATAGAAGTTGACACCGAACTATTCTCTTATTAAAACTTATATATATATATATATATATATATATAAAATTTATTTCAGAAATCAAGTCACTGCCAAAAATAAAG